ATGTAGCTCAGATGTGCACAGATTCAGCAATAGAGACATTGTTTAGGTGGAATGCATGTTCTCTTTTAAGTCAACATATGCAAAATACTTGAAGTCCTCAAAAGTCAGTAGGGGTCGTCCTCTGGGGACCAGGAATGTCGATACAAAACTTCACTACATACACACAACATTTTTTTTTTTTCTTGGTCTGGACGGAAGTTGCCTGAACATATCAACCGACGGACATTGCTATCACTAGAGCCAAAAAACTGCTGCCACATGAAATTGTACAAAAGGCTATGTCATCAGCTCCACATCTCAATAAAATTAAAGCTTATAAACACAAGACTGCAGATTTTCAGAAATGATTCATCTCCATATACACCACAACATCCTCTCATGACTAAAGGAAACCTGATGCAGTCTCCTATTTTGCAAGGAATGCTCACTATAAAAATGTAATAGCACTTAACTTGATATTAAAATCATCATTGTGATAAGGTGAACAGGAGGAATGTGAGAGGCTCGGCTAAAGTGCTTGACTACTCAGGAGTTTTGGCAACTCACCTTACTCAATGAGGCGAATGATTGTAAGAGTTGGATAGGAAAGAGGGAGGAAAGGAAGGTGTTTAACTGAGGAGGCAGGGAGATTCATGTCGAGATGTAAAGGTGTTGAGATGTTTATGTAATGTCCCCCCTTAACTTCTCTTCTGCTTTTACAATCCCTCCATTCCTCCTCCACTCGCTTAATCTCTGTCAACCCCTCTGTGTCGAGTGACAGAGAGTGGGGTGGGGGTTAGGGTGAACACTAGGGTCTTATCTTGGCCACTGGCCTCTTTCTGTGAAACACTCAACCATTTCCTGTCCTGGCTTCCCGCCTCATACCAAACAGACCTCTGCTTCAATCGTTGTTCTATTCAGCACACTGTATGGGTGTGCCGTGGTGAGGTAATACAACCTTTTTCCAAAAGTGACGAACAATTATGACATACTAGTGTCACACTTGTAGCATTAACTCCAGAATATCTGCAACTCTGACTACTTTTAAATCCAGGCTGAAGACTTTTCTTTTTGCAGTTGCTTTTAATTGAACTATTCACATCTCACACTGCACTGTCACTTTTATTCATGTGTTATTCATGTTTTATTATCTTTGCTTTGAAATTAAAGATCTTGTCTTGTTGAAAAATGCCATTTTATAAAATGTTTCTGCTGCACTATTTCTTAATGCTCTTAATGTCTTTCATTTTTGGAAAGCACTTTGAATTGCCTTGTGTTGAAAGGTGCTATATAAATAAACTTGTCTTGCCTTGCCTTGCCTAAACTCGAACACAGGTCCAACAGTAAAATCCAAGTCTCATATATAGTATGCAACTTGAACTACAAACACTTTCTACAACTTTTTATGATTTTTTTTCATATTGTTCATTATGGAAGGGTTGGGAAAAAGTGTCTTCCTTTAAGCTTGTTATCAACGAGGATGTATGTGTTTCAAACTCCACAGTACTGAGTCAGAGAGTCTGTATACTACGACCATGACCTTTGCCTCTCCATACAAGCTTGCTAGTGTGTTTCTGTGCCTACATATGTACATGTGATTTATTATGTATGCATGTAAAGGGAGTGGAAACTCACAGAAGGAAGGAGATCAGACTCCAGATCACAAAACAAGCCTCGTGCACAGGAGCTCCCTGCTCTGGGATCCCATCTGTCCCATAAAGAAGCTGCTGCTGGCAGATGCCTCCAGTGAGCTGTTTTATGTGGGGGCACCAGGGGCCAAAGAGACATGTGTTTTCATGCACTGGAAAGAGGGTGTGACGAGTACCTGACAGTGAAGACCTACAGGATCCATCTGCAGGTTTGCCCAGGAATGTTTAATCATCAGTTTGTAAAAGCCATTTGACAAGCTCAATGATAACTTACATCAAAAAAGACAAAGGACGTTTACTCTCCGCTGTCATAGGTGTTCTATATTATTTCCACATTGTCACTTGACGTAAGCTAAACTTCTTAGCAACATGTTTTTGCGGTTACATATCTCAGTGTGTTTTTGATTAAAGAATGAACAAGGCTTATTCATTCAGTGAGCCCTCCTAGGATATTCATTTCAGTTTTCAGTGTGCAAATGAGTCATCCATCGGTGGTGTTTTCCCCTGCTCTCAGAAGTGAAGCAAGGAAGTCAAAGCTTTAATTATTATTCTTCCACGCTAATTATGAAATTCCAAGCAGTCTTTCGAAAAAAACCCGGCTTTCCTCTCGGTGGATTGTGTTGTGTTTGCACTACAGTTTCTCAACTTGAGTTTAAGTGTTTATTTTCTTGATTTTCTGAGGTTTGTGATCCATCTTTTCCAGCCAACGCCAACCCCACATCAAAGGTCTCCGTGCGCCATTCGTCCACACGGCATCTCTACAGCGCTGATCACCAACAAAGGCTCTGTGTGGCAACCTTTGGAAAATGAGTGGGTGAGCGGCTCTCTTATGAAACACACTGTAAATATTAATCTTGGTTAAAGACGGTAGTTGGCTTTTGTTCCTATAAAAGCTATTTAGAGCGTTTGCCCGCACTTCGCCCCAGCAGAGGGCTTTGTTGAACGAGTGCTATCTTGTTTAAACTTCCCCACCATCCCCCTCCATCTACAAACACACACACCTTCACCTTCATCCTTTCCCACCTGCAGACAGACTCCCCCCGGTCATCAGACACATATCCCTCCCTGTTTCCGCCTCCGCAGCAGCTTATAATGATATACTGTGTATTTACATTGAACTCCACACTGGCATACACAGGTTTGTCTGACATGATCCAGGAAAAGTCTGCCTTGAAAGCCGTAGGTGCCTGCTCTCATTTCTCTGTAAGTCGATGTTCACCTCCTCTCACCTCTCTCCTGTTTGCATTTTCTTCTTTCTGCCTTCCTTTGTCTTTCTGCCCCTAATCCAGCCTCATCAGACAAACCCAGTATTGGAGTATAAATCAGCCCCAGGGACAGGTGGACATCTGCCAGCCATGAGGAGATCCAGGCAGGAATGTGATCATTGATGCAGCTCAAACAAACATTTAAATCCAGGCACTCAAGGGACACAGTTTTCCCTCCAAAAACCCCTGATCCACCTCCTCCGCCACTTCTTCATTGATCGAATTGACAGGGTTGATATTGGAGAGATGCCTTCTGCTTTCTTTTTCGTCCTGTTTGCATCCAGGATTTTTTAATGAGGGAATGGAGAAAAGCAGAACTTTGAGAAAGGGGTAGTGGGAGGATGTTTTATTTGGAGTGATGATGCTGAAAGGCCAATGGGTCCATAAGGCAATGTCAATGAAAGTGAGTTTATCACAAGGTTTTGTGGCTGCTCGCAAACAGGCTGCTCAGGTTAGCAAGCAGTTTTATGATGGAGACCATAATGTTCTTTCAAGCCCCAGCAGAGTGTAGCGCAATAACAGCTCTGCTCCAACGTTGACCCTTTTCATGAATTAAAATGAACGATTGATTTCACTGCTTTCAGATTTTCTTCCCTATTTTCCCAGGAACAGTTTGGGCAACACTAATGAAAAGTGTCACGATGCCCTTCCACACGTATGGCTTTAATAACATCTCGTCAAGACGGAGCTTGGTGGCCATGAGGATTTACAGCTGTGCCTACTCAGATGGTAAACTGCTCTTACAGTTGGGTTGCAAATTATAAGAAGCATGATTTCAGAGTATTATTATTGAGACATATACAACATCCTTAAATTGGAAAAATATCACTATTGTCAGTTCTGCCTCAGTTGTGTCGTTGATCTTTGATGCAATCCACCAGAAGAGATATGTCAGCTCGCAGCTGTTAGCAATTAGTACGTCAACTCCTCTAGCATGGGAGTTGACGTATTATTGTGATTACATGTTTACCATGTTCTGTGCGAGGCGGCTTTTACCAAAACGATATCCTTCTCACTATAGCTCACTTTTTTATGGGAGTAATAAGTTGCAAATGGTCGTGACATTTCTGAATTACAATTCAAAACATAAAGTGTCTTCAAACTTGGGAGATTCTTTAGCTTATTAAAGCATCATGCCAGCAAAGGACTTATAATGAAATTATACCTTTTGCGACTTCAGATATTCTCTCTTCTGACATTTTCTATCAGCATATATAGTTTATATTGCATGAACACAGATAGAGACTAGAAGTTGAATATCAAGTGTTTATATTTTAGGAACAATATCACCAGGAGGACAAATAGTATCTTACTTTAAAGGACTCTCTTTATATTATTCTCCCATGGCTAACATAACCAGAATTGTGATTGTAGTAATGTGTTTTTATTACATGTACAGCACTTTGGCTCGAGCAAAAGTCGCTTTTAAATGTGCTATATAAATAAAACTTGATTTGATTTGAGAATTGATGCATTTCTAAATGTAGACACGATCAAATGTAAATATTGGAGGAAATGTGTGACATGTTAACATGTTTATTCGCTTTATTGCCAATAGTTATATGAGAAGATCAATACCACTCAATGGAGTTACAAGGCTGCAGCTAGCTAGCGTAGCTCATCTTAAAAACCGACTGCTGGCCCTAGCTTCATATTTAGCATCCTTCAGCATCAGTGTCAGCTAGAAAGCGAGTAAGTGCATTCATACAATTATAAACTATTCCTAGTAAGTAATAACACACTCTACACACATGAGCTATGTATTCAAACTGTTTTTGCTGTCATGCTGAACTGTGCATGGAAAACCTGACAACAGAGGGAAAGCTCTCCTAACACACACACACACACACACACACACACACACACACACACACACACACACACACACACACACACACACACACACACACACACACACACCACACACACACACACACACACACACACACACACACACACACACACACACACACACACACACACAGCTCTCCTCCCTCCCCTTTTCCTCGAGCTTGCCCTTTTTAGGCTGTTCCTCTGTTTTCTTTTTTTCCATGTGAAAGGGGGGATAGTATGACAGCTTTTCCTGCTTCTTGTGGATTGGAGCGGGGAGAGAGAAAACTCTGTTATTCACTGCGTCTCCAACTTTGAGAGGAAGTTACCACCTCTTCCCCAGACTCTGTACACACAGGCTCAGGCAGACACGCACAAGCTCTTCAGGACTTGACCACAGCAGGAACAAAGTGAAAGATTCAGGATTGCTTGTAATGCTTTGTTTCTTTCAACATTTGGAGGGAAAGAAGGCTGCATTTTGCCTGAAGCTTTCTGTGTGGACTCAACAGTGTCAGAGGGACCTTGTCATAACAGACCGGTGAGTTTGACAGATTATTTCAGTGTATAACCAGCTCCATAGAAACCTCAGTGCAGCACAACTTTTCTGTCACTCTACTTTTTCTGTAGTTGAACATTTTAATGCTCTGCATCTCATGTGAGGTAAAACTATAGTTTGGCAGGCTTTTTTAGAGGTGCGTGTGTCTGGGAAAACTTCCAGTTGCTATAAACTCAGATATCTGGTTTCAATCGCAGCAGCTCTAGTAAGTGCTTACATCAAATGAAATGACTTTCTTGCTTTTGATTGTTTACATTTTACAAAACAGGGTTAAATAGGACATAAAAGTTAATGAGTTTCGGAAACAGCAGAGTATGCAACTTGATGAAGCCATGACATTGGCTTTCTTTTAAAGTAATAATCACATCTTATTCTAGTTGTTTACTATTTATATTTTCATTATCAGTCCATTACTAAACCAAATAACCACATCCACCCAAGCAGTGTCAATGCATCACAGTTTGGTCCTGCTAAATGTGTTTGTTTTCAACATGTTGTTTTATGAAGCGCAGCCAAAGAGGAGCTGATGCAGCACTTATGGTTGGACAGGATAATCCTGGTATGGCTTTCCTGTGCAGCTGCACATTATTGGCTAACCTTGTGGTGATGAATTAATTGTCACCTTGCTATAATAAAAGCAAACATCCTGTCGCTTTTTGTATACATTTTTTTATACCTGAAGAAGCAGATGCCATGTGATCAAAGACAACTGAGGTGGAAGAAATTACATGGATCCCAAAATGAGGCATGAAAAGTGCTCTCATGTTGCAACTGGCTCTGTTTAACTGTTTCCCCCATTTTTTATACATGAACTCATAGAAACATTCATGCAGGACAGCAGTTGACCATATGCCTTAGCTCCCATAGCTCTCTCTCTCTCCACTGGACATTTGTGGTCAGCAGGTCTTATCAGGGGGAGAGCGAGGTGAGGGAAGTGGTGGGTGGTGGCTGGAGAGGGCTGGGTTTCTCTCAGGGGTCTCCTTTAATTGAAACAATCTGAGTGGGCTGGCATCACTTCAGCTGTGCCTCCTCCAGTCAATCAGATAACCTCTATAGGATGAGTTTGAATGCTCGGTCACCCCTTCAAGGCCATGCTGGGAAGAGTTGACTTCTGTGTGACCTCTTCGAGCTATTCATGCCAGCAGACTAACCTTTCCTTCCTTTACAAAACCCAACTGACTCACTTATCAGCAGGCCTGTTTTATCTGTCCTGAGAATGGTTGTTCAATTACTTTATTTAGCCAGGGGTCAGAGGTCAGATTCTGATTTGAACTGCTCGTCTAAACTCCCAGGGTACCAATCTGTTTGCAAGGGGAGATACAGAAAGTTTCAGACTGCACAGAGCGGAGATAAGTCAAGCGAAAACAACCTAAGGGAGACAGCTTTACACAGTGAGAAGTCATTAACAAAACTCCTTTCAAGAAAATGGGGAACCTTTCTTTATTTAAGTGTTGTTTTCAATGTAAATTATTACATTAAAATGACATGGACCTACAGAAGATTCTGCATCAATAGCTCACTTGGCCAGCTTCTGCTTTGTAGCATTGTGCAGCAAGCTTAGTTATACATAAATTAGTAATGATTTCATGTTCTCCCGAAACACTTCATGGCTGGATTACTTACAGTTCAGCCCAACCATATACACAATTGCAGCCCAGTGGACAACTTACAGCAACCAGTGCCTTGGCAGAAAATGTTTCCAATGTTCAAAAAGTCCCACTGAACATGACTCTGATCAGCTTCTACTGGAGATCAAGGACAGTCATATTGTCATAGTAGAGATGAGTTAGCACAATAACAATAGGAACAAATATCACATAAACGCATCGTTAGGAATGTATGTATGGGAAGTTGAAGTACTGTGCAAATGTAGTTTGTGTCACATATTTAGCCAATGACATGCAGCCATTCACCCAGATCAGCTTATCATCAGCTGATCTCTTTGAAGCACTCTTTCCCAGAACAGAGAGGTCCATTCAAACACATGGCTCTTTAAATGTAATTGTTACCACTGCTCACTGTATAGTTACTGGTATTTGTAAACCAATGCCAGTTTAAAAGACATTTTATGTGTTTCTAATTCCTATAAAACACCAAAGGCATAAACAATGTGTATAACGGAGAATACTTGTTTTACTTTAAAAATAAATTGGCTTGAAACACAATGTCTTTCATCATCTTAATGTGGTGGCAAAGCATTTCAATATTTAAGGCTTTTCTTTGTTGACCCTCTTCATAAACTCATTGTAAAAATGTTGATGGGGAATGTTATGAATCTACACAAAGATACAAAATGACAAAAACGTATGTTCTGCTTACCGCAACTCTTAATCTCACTACCATTAAATTACCAGGAGGATATTTTAGAGTAATGGGGAAAAGGGAGTTTGATGAATGACTTGTCTCACAAACTGTGTTTAGCAAAGCCACCGATGTCTTACAGGGCTCAGGGCTTATTGCTTCCTAGTAGGAGCTTCACTGGTCCAGACCCTCTGCTGTTTAGGCTCAGGCAGATTTTTTTTGACATGCTAAATCCAGTGGGTTTACCCAAGCTTACACTCCTCTCTCGGGTACACACATGCACACACATGTAGCTAGAGACACACTCAACCCTTACCCATACAAATCCACTTGAGCTAACAAAGATTCTGTTTGAATTATATGTGAGTATTTAGTTGAACAAGATCATTCAGACTAGATCTATTCTACTACAACCATAACTTATATATGGTGCATTGTCGTTTATTTAATGATAACCCAAAGAGAGTTGAACCACAATTAGGTTAGTCCCAGACTTCATGCTGTATTAAATCGACAACCCTCACATGACATTTCATTCTTTAGTCACAATAAACCATTCACAAAGCGTTTGTTTATCATCTTCCCATGTGATGAGGAACTTTTCAGCTAACATTTCCTTCAGGATCTGGCCTGAAGGGCGCGTTTACTCAACCCTATCGTCAAAATATGATGCCACTGTAATTCAAGGAAAAACCACGACAGATGACAATAGTGTTGATGTTTTTGTAATTACTACTGGTTGCTAATATAAGTCTGTAGAAGTCATACAGGCCTTTTAAATAGCTGAAAACAGGCACTAGCCTTCCCTTTCACTACACAACATTGTTCATGTCACAACAACAATTCTGAACCTCTTAAATCCCGTGGAGCCTCACCACATTCATGAGTTGTGCAGAGAGAATGCTTCGGACCCAATCATACAAAGGGCAAACACGTGTTTTGTGTCACAGAGTAATCCGTAGGGTCCATGTAATTGATACAGTATGTGGCGTTGGCGTGCTGCTGGATGGTGGCCCAGATCGATGAAAAGGGTGAGGTCATGGCTCTATCTTTGGAGCTCTGAGTTCAAATCTAAAGCCCACTGCGCTTTAGAGAATCATGGAGGAATGTTCATATGAATCAATTTCAACCTGCAGGAACATACACAGGCAACCAGGGACTACCAATACACAGTCACACACAAATAAAACCTGTTAGCCAACACACACTCAGCTGTGGTCCCAATGTGGCTTCCTACTGCCATGAGCACTGCTTGATTGGTAGCGTGATAATGACCGTAGGAAGATGGTACATGGGATATCTCCTCTTGATTTACATAGTAAAGCATGCAGACTCAACCTCCCATCAGGAACACATCTGTGTGCTATTACCCACTTGCCCTAACCCCCAGTTCAGTCCCATATCTCCATTACCTGCCATAGCCCACAAAATATACTCTTCACTGGACGAGCAGCGCACTGTGGTTCACTTTTTATGAAATAAGGATACACAGGGATTCATTGGGGCAAGGGTTGCAGTAACTACTGAGCCAGACTGGCGTCACATTGGCATACTGAGGCATGTTGGATTTACAGCCCTACCCTTGTTTAAAAGTTCAGTCTATAAAGTCAAATAATAACGTGCTGACAATGCCTGACTGATTCAATTCTGTGTTTACTCCAGGAAAACGTTGTTGGTCCTTGAATGCAAAGCTGTTGTTCATTGAGTCCATGTCAAATAAAGTCCATGCCTTAAGCTGGAAACAACAACCCATGACTAAACAAAGCTTTCTTTCAGCTTTATATCAAACACTAAACCATATTCAAGAAGTTTGCATAGGATCAACTCGTATAATGGATTGTAACATGTACAAGTTTGAATGCTGCACAAACAACAGGTTTAGATCAGAATGTATTTCCTGTTAAGACCCACACAGCTTTGCATGCTAGAGCTTTTCTCTCTGCAGCACATTGTAGTTCAGATGAAGGTTAAATATGATTTTAAATGTGTTTGTTTCTTGGATTTGTATTGCCTACACAAAGTGTTCATCAGCAGCAGATGTAGATAACGGTCTAGGTCTTTATTTCTGTTGTACACTTGACAGTCGAGACTGGATGTACATTGTTCACTTTGGAAACAGCATTTCACAATTGTTTGCTTTTTCCATGCTTGTCTTCATTAGTGGAAGTCCCCCAAAGTGTTATTTGGTTGAAAGCTCCACAATAAGCAAGTGAGGACTTTGGTTTCAAAGGCTGTTTACAATGTCAAGAAAGGAACAAGCAAGCATTTGAACACACAGGGTCTTCTTCAAACATCTGCAAATGAAATGCACAGCAAGATCTGGACACTATTTGGCAGAAACCTGCTCTGCGTTTTCGTCTTCTGCTTCTCATCCCATCTTTGAGCGTAGCAACTCTTTTTACAGAATAAAATAAACTCGTAAGATATTTGCAAACTCAGAACTACAGAGGTCAACGTCACCTGGTGCTCCACGTCTCTATCCTGAAGGCCACCACCACATGCCTGTCCTGTTTCCAAATGCAAGAGTTTTCCTCTCAGACACTCTAGCAGGCCTTGACAAGGAGGAAGCAGCACTAATGCTTAGCACAGCTTGAAACCCAAGATCTTCATGTCAAGAGGAACTGGGAAGTTATGCTCTTACTTTCTCCAGAAAACACTTTGGATAGAGATCTTGGTTTGGACAATGTTTCTGTTTACTGAGTGGAAAGTAAAGCACCGCTGCTGTTTTGAGGCAGAGCTTGAGTTCCAGTATGTTTTAGTACTTGGAGACCGTTCTCTGGCTTGCTTACAGGTGTGTGATAAATCGCTTGTAGAGACATCCAGTGGATACCATTGTGATGAAGTTTCAGACTCTTTGGCAGTTTGAAGGTTGCTGTTAACCTTTACATCAGCTAGTGAAAGAATGTCATCTTCAATGTGAGAAAAACTGAGCCAAGGCAGAGCTTTGATTCAGTATATTTATTTAAGGGAAACACACAATGTTTCAGAATGTGCTCCGCGAGCTGAAAATAGTGTGTTAATGACCCGGATAGGCTTGTTTGATGCTATGTGTCGTTAAGTCCTGATGTTTTTTTCAGTAGCAGCCACAGAATCAAAGCTGGAACGTTGTAATGAACATAATCAAGACCAAATACACTGTGTTAGTGTGTGCCATAACTCTAACCCCTCACCAGATATAGTCTGTGTGTGGACTTTAATTTAAAAACAATGAAATGTGATTACATTCTGTAAAGCTTCGTCCCAGGCGGATCAAAGAAAGACCATCCGTTGGGCTTGAATTGTTGTGATCGCTCTGATAGGTATTACAAATATGGTGTTCCCTCTGCGGTTCGGCGTGTGTCATTACAATGAGGAAAAAACACTCACTCTTTCCCTTGTGTGAACTGAACTTTTCATCTTCTGTGTCTAAATCAAATGTGGCATGACTCCCTGCATAAATTCCACTGACGGGTTATGCCTTTGATTTCTTCATTGTGGAAGAGAAGTATTGCAGTTGGATGGTTTATGAAACAAGTATTACTGGTGAAGTATCTAGGGAAAAGTGCGTTTGCTTTGGAGCTCTGCCCCTGTATGGAGGCAGATGATGAATCAGCCAGTTGTACAGCTCTGTCACAATTTCTTAATTTAGATACTGGACATGCGTAAAGAGGGCTTTGACCTGGATGTTGTCTCTGCGGAAAGGGACACACCCTTTGGGAAGGAAGGGCCATTGTGGTCTATCTCCAAGTGGATGACAACAAAAATATCCCACTCCATGATGGGTTTTTTCCGCTCAGCTCCTCAATCCAAACCAAAGCAAACAATGGTCAGTCAGTCAGGAATAGTGTTTAACCTCTTCTGCGGCCACCACACCACGCCATGATGTGTTTATGCTGGCTTCCACACTTTCAGCTGGGACCATACATAAACAACTCATCCCTGACTGACAGAGTTCTCAGGGGGACTAAGCTGAGCTAACAATAATAATTTGTTACTGGGATTATACTTGCTTTGATTTAATGAAAATATGGTTTCTTGCACAGTTTAAGGCAGGTCAGGATTGGTCAAGTGAATAATTAATAGTCAGCAGCGTGTAAGGGACTCAGGAAGGGGACGCCTCAGTTTTGACCTCAGGATATGAGGCCAGGAAAGACAAATGATAAGCTAAAAGGGACAAAAAACAAGACTAAACATTAACCTCACAGGCCCGAAGACATGGCACAAAGACACATGCTGCCACTGGTTGGCTAGATTGTTTCAAGTGTTTAGGCTAGACAAGATATATGAGCATTATTTGGAACTAAATAATGAAAGGCTCAAGGAAAGTGTGTCTTAAAGTATATAAATGATGAGTACTAACACAATTGCCTTGAATTTATTTTTGAAAAAACTAAATCTAATGCAGGTTGGCGACACAACAACACCATATGTTGTTTTTATTCTTGACATTTCTCACTTCTATGACAGAGCAGTTGGCGTGAATACTCCCACCAGCCAGCACTCCCTAAAAATGGCAGTTTAGAGTGTGAGAAGTGAAGTGAGAAGCCGTTTTTGTTTGTTTGATTGTTTGTTTGTTTGTTTTGCCAAAGCGATGGTCCTATACCAAATGGAAGTACTATTTATAATTTGGAGTGGGCTTTTTTTGTTATTGTCAATATGTGATTATGTCAGAAACTATAATTTGAGGACTGTTGCTTTATTTATAATACCTACCAGGCAGCTAATATTGCAATTCAGATTGAAGTAAAACATGATGTTCCAAATGATTGAACAAATTGCAGATGCATGACTTCTTTTTGTAATAACTAAAGTTTCATTTTTAAGGCTGTTAGGTAAGGCAACATCTGCAAAAGAAAAGCAAACTGGGTCACTTGGAGAAAATGACTTAAGGTTGAGTCATGGGATAGTACATGGCTGGGGAGGGGAAGGTCTGGTAATAATTTCCTTCTTAGGTAAAACAAAAACACAACAAAACAACAGGGAAGGATAATTAGTGTTTAGATAGGCATTAAACAGATCTCCAGTTGTCATTAACCACCAGTAACAGACGCCGAGAGCTGATGAAGCTCAGGTTTGCTGCATTCCTGTGCGAGAAGAGGCCGGTTACTGTACTGAAGGTGTCCAATCGCTGGCTTTGACCTTGGCTTGAGGAACGGCTGTAGTCATTCGAGCCGTTCACTTAATTACCCTTGAGACAAAAACTAAATATCTCATTGAAAGCCCAGGTTCTCCTGCTCTGCCTGGATAATGATGTATAGATTCCATTAGTGGGGAGGGATTAGGCTCAGCGGGAGCGAGGAGATGATTCATAATTGAAAAGAAAAGGAAGGAAGCTCGACAGGAAGACATCACATAGGTCCATCCCTGCCGTGCACAGCAGAAACAAAGGCACCATCGTCTGGCTCCCGTGGGGACCGAGGGGGTGGCCTGGAACACTTGTTACCATAGTGACAGCTCTGTCACTTAGCCCCGAGCACTGTAGGTCAGGCGCTCTGTAGTGTACACAGCATCAGCCAAGAGTCAGCAAGATCCAAATCTGCTCTGGAAAGCATGGGCTCTGTTAAACCAACTACAGCTGGCAGAGGAGCTTTTTCACGGCTACAAGTTGGAAAACTTCACAGCACAACATTTTTCAGGGCCCCCGATCCCCCACCTGGCATGTAAAGCACTAACCCCCACCCATTATAGGCTTTTTATTGAGTAAATGAAAGTGATTCTTGGGCTCGTGTTGTAGGATTTCTGCCAATGTGTTTTGCTCTGGGCTGCTAGAGACGTGGAGGAACTTTGGCGTACGCGGAAACTTCAGATTCTGCTTTCTTTTGTATTTATTCATTTGACTCAGGACCATGCTGAGATATGGAGCACAATCAGAACAAAACAAAACCAAACAAAAATGAAATGTCTCCAAAAAGGCAAATAGTGTACACATTACTTTTGGCTAATCTGATTTGAACATGTATTTAGATTTATTTTGAAGGTACTTATTTTATACTGTTTTGTTTTCAAGATATTGAGGCAAAAAGGGTAAAACCAACTACTACCTCATTAATTAAAATTAAATAAGGTTGAATAAGCAGCTCCTTGAAAGCACCATTTAAATATTCGTCAATGTAGAGTATGTATCAGATCTGTTCTATTATATTCCATTAAACTGAATAGGTGTTTCTAATAAAGTGGCCAGGGAACGTACATTCCTGTGTTTCTGTGGTATTTGCATTTGAACCCGTACGGGCTCAAGACAGTTGAAGCAGTGAAAACTGAAAAGCCTGCCTCTAGTCTCTTGCTGGACCGTGTATCCTGCAATAGGCCTGTCAGTGTTTGCATTGCAGACGCCCCCCTGAGTTTGGATCTAATGTGGCTTGACGTCCATCTGTGTGTGTGTTTGCTCTTGTCTCAGGGTGGCCAAATGAACGGTTTAGCCTGAGGACCAAAGATCACAGGCCCCGATCCAACAGCACAGCGAAAGAGAAAGAGAGAGATCATTTTGCAGCCATTCTCCAACTTCTCATTACACTATGAGCTGGGATTGAGGACGTGCTTCAAAGTTTCATTTTGTGGTACGTTTTTACATTTTATCCACACTCCACTCTCTGTTTACTTGTGCTTTTACAGGAAAATGTGTGCTGTGTTTTAAAGTTCATTAGTGCGCCACATGACATATGGTTTACATGTGCGTAGTTTTATGATTGAATTTTACTAGTTCTAAATGAAAAAATAAGCACAAATGCAGCATCAATCATTGAGGTATTCAGCTATCGATATAAATCCGGCACTGAGGTTATTAGTGGGTGAACTTGGAGATACATTCAAACACAAACATGTGGATTGTGCATGATCTGTGTGAAGGCATTTTGACATGTGGCTTGACTTAGAGAAGTGTGCACACGTAAGAGTGGGGCGGCTTCAGAGTTCATCATAATTTCACATCAACTGATTTTTTTTTCCAGCCAGGCAAAACACAAAGCACATGTTAGACGGGAAAAGCGCTAACATTAAGCTGGAAGCTTAAAGGGCACCACCTTTTATTTTTAACTGGCCTTTCCTCTGTTGCCATCAACACTCGTATGTGTTTCATGGTGCAACACTGTGATGTCATCAAGCCATGGAAAATGGAAAATGTTCACAGAATGGCAAAGCACAGGAGAAAAAACATTAGCAGGAAAGGGCAGCAGGGTAGAGGAGGAGGGGAGTCCAGGAGGGTTAGCAGAGGAAATGTGGTATTCAATGCAGGCATATGAAATAAATGTGTTTTGTCAGATGAAAAACAGGCCTGTTTCTGCTAAAGAATAAAGCTACTGAGTGAAGAGGTAGAATCAAGGTGACACAGAGGATGTATATAATTGCTGAAAACAGAAAACAGATTGAGAAAGAACTCGAACTGTTCTTATATCTCTTGTGGTGCACGGCTCCAGCGATTTTACTTCAAGAAAGACTTCCTTGGGAGTGTAAAAGGTCACGGCCGCACACGGGAACGGTTAAAAACCCCACAATAGAGCTCCTCAGACTGACAGGAAGCCAGGAGGACAGACAGCTTAAATGTCAGAGACACAAAGTCCAAACAAAACACATCAATTTAACAACAAACTGCTCTTTCCCTCGGGGCTGCACAAATTGATCTGGGAGTCCCATCAGGCAGGAAGGAGTCCTTTGTGGCTACTTGAAAAATTGACGTTTGACCTCTTTTATAGAGGGCTGTCATGGTTCAGAGAGAACAGCAGAGGCAGAGTGCCATGTGCCAAACGCGTTATGATGATCCCAGATGAAGCCAGTATTTAGAAAGACAGAGGAGCTTTTGTTTGACACTTGGAGGCCTCATCCAACCCACCGAAGGCATATGAAGAAGTACCGTGGTCAGTGGGTTTGACATCCAGACGCTGCAGAGAATGTGACACTGGAGGAAGGAAGCTTGGGAAATAGTTCAAAGACTTTCGGCACCTGAAAAAGCATTGCTACTGTATGGTACTGAGTTGCATTGTACGCCAACGTCAGATGTGTCATTGTAATTTTTTGTTTTTCAGGTGTGAAAAAATCTACTAAAGATCATCATGGATGTGAAGAAAAAAGAGATGGACCTCCTGAGCAACAGCATAGCTGCATATGCTCACATAAAAGGTAAGTCACACTGCAGCCACACAATAATACTCTCTGTTAGTGATCTCTAACACAAATAAATTAAGTAACAACATTTGACTCTATTTGATCTCCTTTCTTTAGCAAACCCAGAGAGCTTCGGCCTTTACTTTGTGCTTGGAGTGTGTTTCGGCCTGGTGCTGACGCTCTGCCTTCTGGTCATCCGCATCTCCTGCAAGCCCCGGACCAACATCGCCACCTCAACGCCTGAGAAAAAACCCTTAAAGGACATCAGTGAGGAGGACGAAGAGAGCGAGGACGATGAAGATGAAGATGGGGACGACGTAGAGGCACCCATCCCTTTGCCAAGCACAGAAATCCCTGTTGGTAATCATATCGGGCAATCAAACGGGACACTGAGTGTGAACGTGTTTACTTCGGCTGAGGAGCTGGAGCGGGCACAGCGCCTGGAGGAGAGGGAGCGCATCATACGTGAGATCTGGAGGAACGGCCAGCCTGATATCCTGGGGTCAGGAACAGGGACTATTGGCAGAGTGCATTACTACTAAGATGCATGAGGCTTCAAGAGAAACACTGGGAGCTCTGTGAAGGACAGGCAGAGACCTTTGGGTGAGCCCGATGTCCCTGAAGCCTGTGAGACTTGTGTTAGATACAATGCCACGTCATGGAAACAGGACAACAGTGATGTGACTTTTTGATAGGACAATACTCAGCTTTGACAGAGCTGAACTATGTGATATTGCACTTCCCATGTAGCAATGTTATTTTCAACTGACTACATGACGTTTTAACCGACAGGTGTCTTAAGGACTGATCATTCCATATGGAAAATATGTAGTGTGAATGTGGGAGCTGAATGACACTTGAAGTAGTCAGTCTATTCAAATGTATGGCGCTTAATGACAAAAATGCACACAAGTATAGGATTATGTATGTTATAAGTGGAACATGGATGCATTTAAGGACAATGTATGTACTGTAATTTGCTATTAAGATGTTTTTTAAATTGCAGTCAGGACAGTCTTCCTCTAGACGGGTGAGTTTGTGGGACATAGAAAATACTCTCTGTGTCTGTGTAAGGAAATTAAATTGTTTAAAAAAGCACATTTGAATCAATTTGGGGGGGTTCAGCATACACAGCAAAATGTCAGGACAATTACATTTGGAGTCTATAATTTATGAGTTCATTAAATCCATGTCTGTGTTTTCAGGGATGATTCCACCAAAGGAAATGACAGAATTAAAGTATTACGCTTAAATAATTTGCTGTTGTTTCTTCATATCGCTCAGATATTAACAGAGCTCATTTTCTTTGTACCTTTAGGCCATTGATTTTTATTCAAGATAAAGAGAGAGAGAACATTTGCTAATAAGAATAATGGAAAGGTCATTTTTTGTTCATATTTGTTTTTTCTGCCTAATGTTTAATTTGTAAGAGCTTCAAGAGGACAGTCAATGTGTTTACAAGGCTCTAGTTAATTCAGACATTATGATTGTAAAAGGAAGATATCCTGATGATAACAGAGAGAATGAGAATAAAAAAAACATCTTGATATTTGAGGTTAGCCTGAAAGCTAGTTCAGGAAGACAACAGGGCTGTACCGTAATATCAAGCGCACCCTTAGTGTAAAGGCGGGCGATTTAACCTGTCAACACCTGGGACACCTGTTTGCTGCTTTTACTATTGCACCCAGGGGCGGACTGGCCATTGGGAATACCGGGAGTTTCCCTGGTGGGCCGGTGCTGTGTGTGGGCCGGAGGGCCACAAAAAAAAAAAGAAAAAAAAAGTTTCTTAAAAAATATATATATATTCTTTTTTTTTTGCCTAAATCCTACCGGCCCACATTTGTAAGTGTTCCGGTGTTACGTAATCAGAATACAAAACTCAAGTAACTGTATTCAGCTCGCGTTACATTTAAAAAACGAATAATCTGATTACAGTTACTTTCGTAAACCTGAAGTGAATACATTTTGGATTACTTATTGGAATTATTGGTGGAAAGATTTCCTTCATTTACTTCAACATTTTAAAAAAATCTTCTCGGGGGAGCTTGCCCCCGGACCCCCCTAGAGGAGGTGAGGTCCACCACCTGCCCACCCTGTTAAATTGTCTCACCCACATTGAGGATGCTTCCTACGCCCATGTTTTATTCCATGCGTCAAGTCAGGCAAATTGGGTCCAAATGTTATTGCATTAATGATCTGTTAACATTAAAATCACTAAATATATGCTGTAACTATTTTGCTCTAGGCAACTCAAGGGCTCAGGTAATGTGATTACTATATGAATAATTGTCCAAAATAACATAAAATGCATAGTGTTTTTTGTTAAGTAACATACTTTCGTCGCCGGCCGGCCGATACATGCCGCGCATTAAGTGGGCCTGTCTGTCAATTAATCCCCGGGCCACTTTTTCCCCCCAGTCCGCCCCTGATTGCACCTGATACACTTATCACGTAAAGTCCAACCATGTTGCAAGTTAATTCAGGGCGGTTTTATCGATTAAATATTCGGAAATGCGTCGCTCATCCATCCCCCCGTCTTCGTCGGCCATGGCTGCTGTCCGTCCACACACGTCTTGAGTTTTCATGTTGATATTGTGACCGCAGCCTCACCAAGGTAAGTGCGGTGAAGGATGCCTTGTTATGTTCATGATGATGTGCTTGGCAATGCTTTGTTTGACACTGGCAATGAGGCTGTACATTAGTCAATCCACCACTTCCATGACTGCTATGTCAACAAATTGGATGGGCTGCCATGCATTTAATGTCATTTACAGACATTCCTGTTCCGTAATGCTTAATCCTACAGATTTTGGTGATCCCTGACCAACATGAGGTTGACATGTTTGAGTAAAATCTGCTGAATTGCCATTGATACAGATAGCCCTTTCAAGAATCCCAGATAATACACGTCTTTCTTTTCCACTTGCTTGACTCCCTGACTTTTTATCTAGTGCCACCAGCAGGTCAAATTCTTCACTTATCCAGTGAGCATTTTCATCTGAACAGCTCAGACATTCCTGGTTTCCAAAAATATCTTTGGTAAACCGCTTATTTTGTATTCAGTGCCACCAGCAGGATGAGTGTGTCATTTGTGGCAGGTATTGGTCAATTTAATGGATATATTTCCCAAAGCAGCCTCACCTTTTATAAAAATGTAAACTTTAGACTTTTAAAAAAAAACTAGATTTGCAACTAAATAGCCTACCTGCAAAACTACTGGCATTCCCATCTGCCTCAGCTGTACTGTACTGGCATGTTTAGGGTTTGAGCTTGAACATAAGCATTTAGCTCAAAGCACTGCTTAATTGTTTCTCTGCTGTCGTTTTTGCATGTCTTGGAGTCTGCTGGCTGCTTACATTCACTCTTATGCTGTTTGTGTTGCTATAATTGAATGTGCACTCATGATGTTGTGTATGCTGGGTGTCCTCTTTAATGCTGCTGAAATGTGCTGGCTTCCATGTTTTACTTGTACAGTATGCTGTTGATAACTATGCTACATGTGCAGTGTGTTTGCATTGGTCGTAATTGCCAATAACTGCATTTCTTCTGTTGTGGCCGAGTTCATTTTTCCTCTTGGTTGTTTGGCATGCGATGCTTTGATTATTTTTATAGGGGCTTAATTGGTTTTGTGGCATGTTTCCTTTTATGATGTTGCCATTGTTTTGCAGTGGTGCTTCTGGCTTGCAAGTTGGCTTCTGGTTTGCAAACATATTGCACACAGCTTATTTACATAATGATCCAATTCTATTGTAATGGTTGAGAATGAGAAACACAACATGGCTTTTATCTGTTTCACATTTGTCTCAGGTAGATACATTTGTTAAGCTATTTTTATGACAACTTTCTTCTACTGTTACATTGCAATGATCTCCTCATTGTACTGATGTGGATCTGCTGCTGCTACTTAATACTGCTAACATTTAATACCAAAACCAATTTTAGTTTTTCAGATTGTAAACTCCTAGATTGGAGTTGCACCTTTTCATAATTTCCACTCAGGAACCAGGTGTCGTGCTATTATATTTGTTGTCTCTTGCAGGGGAAAGGCCTACACATAGAGTCCACATACTAGTACAAAGCTCTGTATCTTATGTAGTATTGTGGGTAAAGCATTATCTTCACTCCCAAAACCCTGCTGTTCTGACTTCTAATGGGGTCAGAGCTGAGGAGGCCAATATCAACTCTGCATTCACATAATAAATCTGTTTCTTGTGAGTTGGCTGATGGAAATATTGTTTGGCTGCCAATATAGACCAACAGAACATTGATGAATTGCCCACACTGTGTCAGCGTTTGTATTAGACATTAGAACAAGTCAATCATTGGTGGTTTGGAGATCTGGAAGTTGTGAAAGTATGAATTCTTGGCATGTCAATAAAGCTATACAAAAGGGAAAATATACAAAATAGACAGTTTATGGCATGCATGTGTCCAGATGTATTTCTGCTAGCCAAACCAAAGCCAGAAACATCAGTCTTACGTCCTAATGAGGCTGGTGTAGCTTTGCTTGGAGGAAGCTTTTGGTTTAAGTTGGGGGCAGGCAGAGGACTTCCGCTCGAGTCGTCCTCAAAATACAAATCTTTTTTCAGATGTCGCCCACACTGAACGCTTGGAAAAGCCCCTAATGTGGTCACAGTGTTTCAGAAATCAGTGGCGTTGATGGTGTGGACTCTTTGAGGTGGCTCTGTAATTTGTATAAACCTCTTATGAATGGCGTCGACCCCAAAATAATAGGACCCAAATTATGTTTTACTCGACCCGCGATTGAATATTTTCCATAGAGTATAGTTTTCATTTGACAGGATGTAATCATGGCACACATGTAATTAGAGGCATCCTATCTTAGACTGATGCTGATTATAGTTCTGAGACAATACATCAATAAAATCAAGTTGACAACATGAAGGAAAACCAGTTATGGCAAGCTGTGAATCGAAACCACACCACGGCGTGGGAAATATCTCTGCAAAGACCAACAGACTGTGGTTCTTTGGTTGATTTCAGAAACCAGCCTTAACAGATAGTAACTACTAGAACCACTTCTCTATTAATAACATTTTTATTCTCATGGCCACATTAAACCTTTTTGAGTAGCACATAAAAATATGATTTCTATTATGATTTGGTTCAATATAAGGCTTTATATATTTTTTTTAAAGTCCTTCTGAGGCAGATGTATTGCCTTTTCCCATTAGATCATGTTTCTGTGTGTGTCCAGCTCTTTCTTTGACAGAGGCACACTGTTCTTCGTCAGCTCCTCTTTCTCCATTTCTAATTTTACCTCAGGATTTTCTTTGTATATGACCTCTGAACTCCAAAATGTTCTCCTTGTTCTCAGTAATCTTACATTCCTCTTATATTACTCTGCACTTAGTCAAATATTTGCATGTGGTGAATTCAGATGTATAGGGTATAATAGTATAAAGCAGCCTTAGTGTAGACCAGTGGTTCTCAAACTTTTTCTGGCAGGCCCCCCCTTTGGAGAAAAAAAAAAGTCGGGCCCGCCCAACACAAATAGTCAGGCTCAGTCGCGGCGCTAGAGATTTCTTTTGGGGGTGCTGCGGGGTAGCTTGACGTTTCATAGAGGGTGCTCAAACATTTAGGGTTTCCCATTAATGTACCGGGCGCTACAGTGGAATGTTCTACTGCAACACTCCCCACGCAAATACACAATGGTCCCGCGACTGTTACAATGAAGGCTCGATAATCAGCTCACGGCATATAGGTGTAAGCAGGGGTAAAGTGCTATTTTTATAGGTGGTGTGTGCATGGACCTCACATAGGCAGTAGCGTGGCGTGGGGAAAAATGTAGGGGAAGCCCATTTTTTGGGTCGGGGGGTGGTCAATAACGTAACCAGATGAGTGATTACAGCGCCCGGTATCATTTGACACACATTTGTATCACACAGATGCAGGACTTGCACACGCCTGTTATCTAACCGACAGGTCCGCACGCACTCTCCAGCTGAAACTCTCTCCTTATTAATTTAAGCATTTTACTTATTAATGTATGCAGACAATCACACAATCTATGTGATTTTTGGATTTACCGTGCCTCTCAATTGCCCGTGACAGGTTGGCAAGGTCGATGAATCCTGAAGTTGCCCAAGGATTGTTCAGGGAGCACGAATCCTTGTCAAAAAGAAGACATGGCCAGCAAATTAGACGCTGAAGTTTAGCGCTTCCAGTTAGCCACTCCGTGCGGACATAATTGTCCTCATTGAACGTCCGGTTCTCTCCCTTTTTCCTCTGCGTACACACAGCTCGAGTGCGGGCATTGGCCTGTCATCTGATTTAATTTGTAGTTGCTGCTGTAGCGGAAGTTTAGTAAAGTTATGTTTGATTAAGTACGCCAAATCTCCACCCTCCATAATGCTTCATTTGCTTGATAATTTCTAACGGCGGTGATGACAGTTACAGTATTAAAACTGATGTTGATGTGATTTGATTGGATGGCAGTGTCCAATCAAATCGCCAGCCGCCAGCCGCCTCTGAAGGGAAGCAAGAGGCGGCTAGCTTCCCTTGGCATGGCCCTGACCAATCACAGGTTGGCAGGGGCATCACGTGGGCCTCATCTGATTGGTCAATCCCTCCATTTTTTTTCACCAAGGGAAGCTAGATTCGGCTGGCCTCCTCTCGCAACAGTGAGTGCAATCTACTGTTTCACCATAACATCTAGAGGGGCGCTGTTTGTTTCACTCTTTGTAAAATACTCAATGAGAATGGGGGAGAGACGGGCCGGCAGCAACACACAGCAAAGGAGAATTATCGAAACAAAACAAAGTGTTTGTATTTATTTATTTAAATTATAACTACAATCCGAAAAAACAGGGGAAGCCTGGCTTCCCTTGGCCTCCGGGAGAAAACGCCACTGCACATAGGGGGGTCCGGGGGCAAGCTCCCCCGGGAAGATTTATTTTTAAATATTGAAGTTAAAAGCATCAATCTGGTGCACTTTGAGAGCAACATGGAGAGATCTATGGATACATCTCTCAACACCCATTTGAAACAGAACTGTAAACAGATTTACTTTTTCTTTATGGATATTTTACAAATCACCCTTTTAAACTTTATTCTTTTTTTACTGTCATATAGTATTTCATACCTGTTTTTCATTTATTCTCTTATTTTTGTATAACTATAATGATCATATAAACGTGTGCCTCGGAAATAATTGTTTACATTAATGGTGACCAAAACGTTTGAGACCCACTGAGATAACACTGACAGAGTCCTTTAGCTCACTGAGTCTCTCAATCTGACAGGAGAGGACTCTCCTCCACTTTGTTGTTGAAAAAGCTCCTTATATTCGTTAGCGTAGCTCGCTAGCACCAGAAGCTAACAACAACGATCTCCAGTACCGGTGCGCTCTCGCTCGCGCACACAAAATGGCTCGTTTCACACACACACACACACACAGTCGAGCTTTAATGAAACAGAGACCCAGACGTAATAGTACTGTACTGCATTATATTATTTTCGAATCAATAATTTTTTTTTTATGATTTTTTTTTTTTTTATGATTTATTTTTATTTTATTTATAACCATTTTTCCTCCTGGTCTCTCGCGCCCCCCCTGTCATGCCTCTGCGCCCCCCAGGGGGGTCGCGCCCCCCACTTTGAGAACCACTGGTGTAGACTAAGGCTGCTTTATACTATTATACCCTATACAGCAGCAGCCATCATCCCTGATGTTTTTGAATTTTTGTGAAATAAGTAAAAGCCTCACTTGTGTGCAAGGGCTTTACAAACTGGACATTCAGGTTTTTTTATCTTGCAACATTTTCACAATATCAACTGATACTTTTTTCAACCTGCATGTCCAAGAGGGAATGTGCCTTCAATGTCCATTATTCAACGCAGTTTTTAAAAAATAGTATGTTCCCATGGAAGTTTCAGAAGCACCCGGTCCCTGATGAGCTCCAGATGTGATCTACAGTGGGCACCGCTAGTAGGCTTAGACATTAGCCCATCATTTCTCATTAATTCTCTCCCGCGCTCTCTGCATCCATCGCAATGAGTCGAATGTTCAAAGTTTGCATAGTGAGTCAGTTTTTCTCAGTGACACATGATGCCTTTATCACTTAACTGCCAACATTGAAGCTGACCACAAACTCTGTTACCAGAGTAACCCCTGAAGCATCTCAACATCAATTAACATCAGCCATTTATTTGAGTCTTAACATATTTACTGTTCTGAATGATATACGCTTTTTGTTTTCTAATGAGAGATCACTATTGCCTGGTCACTTTCACCAATCACTGAAAGATTCAACACTTATTTATATGCATTAGTCACACAGTGCCACCCAGTGGATCAATGCAACATTACATTCTGGTGTCTGAAAATCACCTGCACTTCTGTACATTTGTTCACAGTTGTACTTCAAGTATTAGCATTCAAGTAACAAAACCCTTTGGATGACTTAAAATGATATATTTAATCACAATATTTCCTCCTATATACAGCTGCATGTATTATATATTCTGATGTAAAAGTTAAAAGTGCAGTTTGTAATAAAAGGGACAGTTGAATCAGAACAATGTAAAACATTCATTGGCAGCCAACAGTAACCCATTATACACGTTTGATTTCCAGCATAAAAATATGTAAAAACTTTAATAATACATCAATAAAAGTATTTCTCTCCAGTTCAATTCAGGATTAGCTAATCCCATGTCCAACTATATATTTTAATTTAGCCCTCACACTTTTGTCTGCAGTGGGAGAGCTTGCTTGTCTTCTCCGTTCTCATTTTATGTTAGAAAATTGTTCATTTTGTTTAAACTTGCCGTACACAAGCCTGCATGGCACAGTGTCAGACAGCACAGCCTGTTGTTGGGATTAATGCTTCATCCTCAAACTGTGTACTTCATCCTGTATGGAAAAGACATTTCAACAGTAAATAACCACAGCTTCAGCATTGTTTCTTATTGTGTGATCCATGCAAAACTCAAAGCGCGCCTCACTGACCTGCAGTGCCATTCGTTTGTCTCTCTCCTCCCTCAGTTCTTCTTTCACTTCCTGCATGTCTCGGCTGATCAAAACAAACAGAAAGATGAGTTTGCAGTCATGGGTATGTCTACAAAGGTCAACATGTACACTACTAGTTAAATCAAAGGCATACAATAATACACATTCATTTAAAATGTTTTTGAAGTGGGGATATATCGGATCAAATCCACAATTGCCTTGATTCTGATCACTCAAATAAGCACCTCGATCACTAGTGACAAATACATAAATATATAAGAATAAATATCTATCTTTTACAGACATGCTGCGGATTTTCTTAGGAAATAGTAAAAAAAAAAGTCTGTAGAATGCCAACCTCTGCTGCACCCCCATACTTAAATTTGTAATGATAGTTTGACGTTTTTTCCCTAAACAAATCTTAAACTTCTTTTGATTTTGATAATGCACTGCACAATTTTATGATTGTGCAATAATTTTGAAAAATTATTAATTCCTTTATGAATGTTTTTGTAAATCTAAAACTCCTCTGCTCATGTTGAGAGATCTGAATAGCTTTACAAGTTCAGGAAATCGTGTGTCTGCACATAACTGGCTCTTGTTGAGCAACCAGGCCTCTCTGATGTGTCTAATCAAAGCCAATCAAAGAGATGCAAAAGATCTAACATGGAGTCCATTTTGTTTTCCTGGCAAGTACACAGTTAGTATTTCTCTCTTTGGTTTTGATTAGCCACTTCCTGTGAGTGCCAGTGTCTGCAAACAACACCAGAAATTAAAATTAACATTGTATGTTCAGTCCACACATTCTCAGTTAGAGAAATTATAAAGTCCTAATGTGATTTAAGAAGAATAAGACTGTTTGATGTTTGCCTTAATATTCTCCAAGGAAACTAAATCAGTTGTTCAGATTTTAAATGATTACTACTCACTCGTGTCGTGTCTCTAGCAGCTCCAGAGACATCCTCAGTTCTTTGATCTCCGCCTGCAGGTCTAACATCGTTGGATCTTCTTTATGGGTCACTGTTTTGCTGTCCAAAACTTTTTTGGGTGGTGTGGGTCGAACCGGAGGCGTCGTCTTGGACCAATGATCCGGCTTTGCAGGAGATAGCAGGAAGTTTTCTTTACCCTACAATGAATTAAGGTGGCATTGAACAAACCAATTAACTTTTTGGCTTTCTTTGATTTTTTATCTGAATAAAATGTTAAGGCACAGCACGCACACTCTCCTTTATACTGAAGCAGATCTAAATTCAAACTAGTGAGGTTGCATTATTTATATCACATGGGCTGTGTTGTTTCAAGAAATGAATCAATGTCACAAACCTTTTGCAAGCCAGGTAATCTGTCCGTCTGAATCCTTTTTGGCGTTAATTCTGGTTCTGTTTGGTCAGTAGCCTGAAAAAGACAATTAGCCATACATAAATAACAAACATAGATATACTAATAATGTCTAAAATCTGCCTTTAGCTATTTCATTCTTGATGTATGCCAATTTAACATCTAGATCTGTCTTTTAAACAGCCAAGTACAAACTATTAAAGGATCTTATTGCTGCTAGTGTGCAAGTGCTCGTTAAACACATCAACTATTTAGAGTTTTTAGATGTATATCTCTTCCTGTAGAGATGTAAATATATGATTTTCCTTGCAACCATTGTTAGAGACTTCAGAATGTTTTTTTTAAACAAAGTTGAGTCTATGAAATGAGTCTCGAAAGCCCTAACATTTACCAATCATGGCAACGTTTGGATGGCATTAACTGGTATTGAATTGCAAGTTATTACTGGTAAAAACTTGAAACACCAATATATCGCTGCAATTGGATCGCTGAAAAGCATGCCACCAAAGTAAAAAGCGGCAGGAAGGTACTACTAAATATGTTCAGTTACATTTCAAGAAAGAAAGATGATTTTCCTAACAAGAATGCACAAGATACAGAGGGAGTCACTGCTGCAGCGCTACTCTTGTGTTGTGGTTTAGCAGGGTGTTGGCGGCTGAGGCTTAGGTTAAGGGTTCATTATGTAACACTTCATTTGTATGTTCAAGTGAAAGGTTGTGCTAAATCAATATCTGTCACTATTGTGGACATACGTGTGCAGCTGTAACCAGGCCTGACGGGGGTCTCCTCTGCGGGGGCTTGGCTCTGTTTGCTGTGGGATGGCAGAGTTTATCAGTCTGCACGTCCACTCCATCAAACTGGTCCGTCTGTTTCTCCTCCGGTTGTTTTGGTGATAATGGAGCCACGTCGCCATTGGTTCTATTGAAAATAAGGCCACATTTGTACAATATGTGGAAAGATGTCAACCTCTGATTAAAGTTAATAAGGGGAGGGAATCTTTCAAAACATCTCTCATGACTTCTTTAGTGAAAGTAAAATGGTGCACAGGCTGTAAGGTGTGAAGACTTTAAGTCTCTCCGTCTTATTTTATCCTTGCACATATTTCACTTTCACAGCACATATGCATTTTTACATGTATATAGACTTTTTGCACTACTTTTTATTTTGTATTTTATTATATATGTTGCATTTTTTAAGGAGCTCGTGTCAGAAGAATTTCATTGCCATTTCTACACTGTAGCTTTGTGCATATGACAATAAAACATTTGAATTATTTTGGCATATTCCCCTAGAGTCACCGCTCAACTCATATAATGTTTATACAATACACAAAATAGAAAGAACATCTAAATTGGGGAACAATTATTAAGTAAATCGTATGGTTAGATGGAAGATAAAGCTTTAACGATTCTTAAAGAAGCTAGAAAGGTTTCCATTCCAAACATATTTGAGCTGCCCCCTCAAGACAGGGTTGTTTTGTTTTCTTAGTTTTTTGTGTGTGTTTTGCTCAGGAAACAGGAAATGGGCTGCTCTCGTCTGTTTAGGCCTGATCTGACTCATCCCAGAGTTTCCACTGAGCCGCTAAAGGTCGGGCATCCTGGCATTATTCTTTAAGGACACCATGGCAACTGGTGGCGACAACGGAAACCTTTAAGGTCTAAAGGCTCCGCTCCCGGTGCCAGACCAAAGAGGAGAAAGTGTTCCTGACATTTCCTAAAGGCCTTTTGCTTTAGAAAGGTTGCTAATGAATCACTTTTCATGTCCTTGAGTTGGAAGCCATTTTCTCTAGTAAGTCTATAGTGGTTATGCATGGTGGTTAGTCATCAGAGATGTGTTGGCATCACTCACTTGGATGAGAACTTGTTGGGTTTGTCTTTGATTGGAGGCGGGCTGGGCTTGTTGATGGACGGTAGTTTGACTTTGATCGGAGGATTGCTTCTCAGGTCCTTGACCTCTGGTTTATCATCTGTAAAGCAAATGCACCACATTAATCTACAACAATATTTATCTTCAGAGGAGTGTGTCACAATTTTAGTAAACGTCACTGCTGTTTATACCTTTTGTCTTTGTTGGACCACTTTTATCCATCGCTGAGGCCTCTATGTTTACTGAAAGAGTAGTAAATTAACCATTACCACAAAGGTGCATTTGGTATGTAAATCAACACAGCCCTGCTTTGGATGGAATATTAGAAGTATTTCATTTTCTACACAAAATAAAGCACAGTCTTTTGGATTTAATATGAAAAATAATGTCATTTGAAGTCTACTGGCCAGCCTAAAAATTTTAAGCAACAACATTAAAGCTGCTCCTAATCTGCACGGCCCCAGGTGTCAAAGTGCAGGCTCAGCATATCTGCAGTCAATAAAAAAGATGAGTCCTAGCCAGTAGTATGTGCAAGTTCTGGTTAAATGTGTCCATTCTGCTTGCGTTGACATCACTACTCGTCGTCTCAATATATTGTTGTTTCCATCACTTCGGTGAACTAGAGTATATCCACTAGTAAAAAGCCGCTGGCATATTCTATTAGTCAAAGAGAGGTATTTGCCTTTGTTTACCCCAGAAAGCAATATGATCTAAAGTGGTAGAGAAATAAAATGCGACTGGTCTTTCAACTAAACTGTAATCTCGTTTATGAGCATGGGAAGGCAAAGATGTGCACATCACTGGAGCAAACCAGGTCACAGCTGTAACCAATAGCTCCGCAGCTCCAGTTCCCAGGGTTCTCAACAAGTTCATCAGGGACAGTGACTCTGCCTCAGCTCATAGAAAAATACCGTCCCTGAGAGACTGTGCCTTGGAGACTGCGAGAATAGATACTTGAATTATGAAGCGTCAGTGAACTAAAGATAATGTGAGAGATTCCGGTTTGCCATGCCAAGTCAAGAGCTTAGTTGAAACAGAAGATGTAGAACAACCTGGTTACAGCTCTATTTAATACATATAAGCCCAAATCCAAGTGATCTAACACATAGCCATAATAAAAAGCACAATACTTTGCAACACGCTTAGTCTCTTAGATGATTAACGGAGCGAGTAAGAACACAGGAAGCCTACCTTAAATGTTCAAAGCATTGTGCAACAATCCCTCTCAAGCAAACCATCCACACAGCCTTATCAGCTCAAGTGCTGCTGCTGGGGCTGGTTGTGAAAATCTGTGTACAGAACTCCCCTCCGCCCCCCTTGTTTCCTCCAAGACTCCTGAACTGTGTCACATGACCAGTCTAACCATCCCCCATCTCGCTACAGTCTGAGACTTCCTGTGAACATCTTGTGAGTGATAATGTGTAGAAAAAAAAGTGGTGGCATTAAAAATGACGAGATATTCCGATATTCAGTTAGTTTAAGGGACATCTTTGAGTAGCCAAACACTTTGTGTGGCACTGTTTCACCTGCCTGTCTATTTAGAAATGTTTTGATGAGCATGCATTTTAAATTTCCAAACTGAGTAAGAAGTTGGAGGTCTACATGAACATTTTTGTTTCGCTGAAACCAAAAGAAATTGCAGAATTTGCAACTTGCACCACAGACGCCTCAGCTGAAACTTGACAGGAAGCCGCTTCCTGCCTGAGAGAGATTTGACTTCTACATGCTTTTTGTTGCAAAGGGTATTCATGTTCTTTGCCAAAATAAAAACAAGTGATTTAATCTATTATGTGTTATTTAGAATGACTAAGATAGTTAACTTAAGTAAGGATAGCAATACCACCCTGTAAAGATACACGTTTACTAAGTTAAAGTAAGAGATTATTGGCATCAAATTAATATTCTTAACGTATCGAAAGTACAGAATGACCCATTTCGGAATCATATGCATTTTATTATTGGATGATGAATGCATTGATTTTTCAGCATTACTTTAATTGTTCTGCTTGTTGAGGCAAGCTGTAACCACTTTATACTGCTGGGTAACTTCATCTCTACAATTGTATCATAATAAATTGGTTGATTATATTTTTTTAATTTGCAAAGAAACCAGTAATTTAAGCTGTTAGATTAAAATAGTACTGAAAAGTGGAATATTTGCCTCTGAATAGTGATGAAGTAGAGGTTTGAAGAAGCACAACATGGAAATACTCAAATCACAGTACTTGGTAAATGTACCAAATGGACTAAGTTACTTTCCACCAATGAGTAAATATGAATAAATATAAATAGAAGGGGTTTGATCAACTAATGTTGTGAATCTCTATTTATATAGAGCGATACTGAAGAGTTTCTGGTCGCTTCAGCAGCACTTTGAAATAACAACATTGATTAGCATTTTGGCTGCTTTCACAGTGTACCACATGCTCAAAATCACTCTACAAATACTGCTTCCATTTTCTCCATCTGCTAAAACAACAGTCCTTCACAGTCCAGACTGTCAGCTCGCTGCCAGGACAAACAGCACTGCAGCCAGAAGTCACAAGTCGGAAGAAGAGCTCTTTAACGTAGAGCCTGGTTCCCCCATCTAAAGTCAAACAGTGTGTGTTCCTGTACGGCGACATACATGGTTCTCTTACCTGGCAGTTCGTTGTTGATGTTGCGTGCGGGCGGTTGGTTTGTGGTCCCAGACTAGAGGAGGAGAAACGGAAGACTTAACAGCTTGGCAAGTACGTCCCCGTGTGAAATAAAGGCATCTCTATTTTACATGCTTTTTTTCCACCAAGGGAATTTTCAGCGAGTAATTCCAAAACAGAGGATGTTAAATACGACCCTGGCTCACTGCACACTGGCTGCTAAACACAAATACCAGCCAGCTGCACATGAAGTGGCATTATGTACTCTGCATTTTGAGCCATTTTGATTAATAAAAAAGTATCACAGATATGAATTACTATAAAGCATGTCCAGGGCTTCATAGTAGCGGTTGTCAAGTCTTGAATTCAGGGAAGGTCCAGTCACAAGGATATTTCTTAGACTGGTTTAGTCAACTCACTTGCAGACTGTCCATTGGTGGTATCAGCATGACGAAGTTATCCGGAAAGCAGCCGCATCGTCCGTTTATCTCTCCCTCCCACCAGCCTTCATCTTCTATTTCCTTCATACAAAGATTAAAGAGTCACGTTAGAAGCTCAAACATCGCAGTCCTCTGGGACGCCACATTATAAGAGGTTACAAAGCGGTCAAGGAAGACGAAGCTGTCTTATTTGTATTTGTCATATGAAGTAACTGTGAAGTATTTTTTTCCTTCTATGATTACATAAGATTATTGTCACTTAAATATGTGTGTCATGTTGTCCACCATGGCACGTAGTTTCCTTCAAAGGGACACAACTGGTTTAGCTGGATGAACAATATGACACCGGCAACTACTTGGCAAGAAAAGCAATTGTACCAAAAGGAGTCTGTAAGCATGACATTAGTGGAACTCATGCTAAACAGAGAACAACAATAAAATGCACCCAAACCTTTCTCAGGATAATAACAGTGTCTCCTTTTTTTAGATCCAGCTCATCCTCTGTCTTTGCCTTGTAGTCAAACATGGCTTGGCAACACTCCACCACTGAGGAGACATTACATTATATTTCATTTGGCAGACACTTTTATCCAAAGCGACTTACAGTAAGTGCATTCAACCAGGGTACAGAGTAACAAGAATCATGTAGGTGCATTAGTTTGAACTATGCCAAACCATTCCAAGTGCAAGTACATTAGCTTCAACTAAGCCATAGGGGAAGAGATGACATGTTACGAACCAGAATATGAGTTTTAGAGTATGTGACAAACGCTATGATGACCAATCAGCATTGCAACGGTCACATCTCTACTTCAAAGATTAGCCGGGAAGAGGTGCGGAAGAGTGACAAGCTGGAAATAAAAGTTGTAGACCTTGATCCCTGGGGGATACTCCCCTCTGACGTAAGCATCTATAAAGTGGTTAATCAAGCCACGAGTATCTATGTTTGACCCCACCCTTAGGTTACCGTAAAAAGTACAGGAATTAAACATCCGGTATAAATAGATCTGTGTTGACGCTTTTTAAAATGCTGTTCAAAAATCCCTTTAGTGTTAATTCCATGATTGAGCAAACAAAATAAATGCTGTTAATAAAATGACTTACCGGTTTTTGCCTTGTTCCTCACACTTGCCCTTTGAGAAATGCCCTTTGTGAGCACAACATGGACAATAAGTCAAAGGTTAACAACTCATGCATTTCAGAAACAATATGTCTGCTTTACATACCTCCTTGTTGAAGACCGCGTCTGTGAGCTTAGGTCTTGACTTGCCCTCATTGTACTTGCTGTCTGTAAAAATAGTAAACCAATAATGAGTTTCGCTGTTAGATAATACATCCAGAAAAAGGATTAAGAAGTTAGCAAAAGTTTTAGCTTTACCTTTAGGGGAAACAAAAATCTCTTTGACAAAATTTGATGGAAATGCTCCCAGTTTGCCATTTTTCACCCCCATCCACCATCCATCTTCAATCTGTCATGTAGATAATATCAATGAGTAACAAAGTACAACAAGAAAGTATGTGAGAAGACAACACTTGTGTGCCAACACTTGCTCAAACATGTCCACTTTACATTCCAGAGTTATAACCAGTCTGTTTTAAGATAATACTTCAGGGTATGTCCATATCAACTCTTAATACTCTAAAGTCACTCTTTGTGTTTCCCCAAAGCTGTGATTTCTCTGTGAAACATGCTTTGTCCGCCTGGCGGAGAAAAATAAAGAGAGTGTGACTCCCAAATAATCATTACACCTTATGAAAGACTCTTTATCTAGCCCGTGAAATTGGCTGAACAAACATTTAACCAACGCCCAGATTTACAATGCCAATGTAGACGCTTGCAGGGAAGTGCACTGCTTTTGATAACTTAATAATAGGCTACCAAAGCTGTTTTGCAGAGCCTCAATGTTAGTTTATTTGAGTTTGAATGCGAGTGTTTGAGCAGCGATAGGAGGGAGTTGTACCTCGCGGAGGATCTCTATCGTCTCCCCAACCACCAGCTGCAGCTCGTCTTCATTCAAGGCGTTGTAAGCAAACGCAACCTCGCATTTCCTCGTCTGTTTCTTCCTCTTTGCTTGAAAGACAAAGAATCACCAGCCACATCAATAGACATTTGTAAAGTGTTTAATCTACTGGTAAAGCTGATGGGAAAGCTAACGCTCAACAATGGTAGCTCGATAGGCTGTGTAGTCAAGTCTCGACAGGAAAGTGCAAAGACTGCCAATCACTAGACGCTTCTAACATACCTAATCCCTCGAAAAGACTCATACAATATAATTAGGATTTGTGCAGAGAGGATGTGGTTCACTTATATTTACAGTGTGCTTGACTGATTTGCTGAGTCCATTCAAAATTTCAAACACTGGTGAACCATCAATGTTACAGTAGGAAAACCAACCTGATTTGAATAGCACTGTCAAATGTTTTCATTGTTTATTTTGAGTAGACTCAAGTTGCAAGCTGAGATAAGAGGTTCACACTGCATACAGAACAGTATGTGCAGATTTCTTAACATGATAATTGAGTAGACTCACACTGCATACAGTAGGCTAGAGTATGTGCAGATTTCTTAACATGATAATTGTTCTAGTTATAATACATGTAATATATGTATATATGATAGACTGACATAATGTGCCTTTGCAGGGCCAGAAGGCAGAACTACAGGTATTGTACACAATCAAGTTTAAAAAGAACATTTTATTAGTTGCAAATAAGTTTCATTGAACTGCATTTTACTTGTTCTGAGGCTCCGTGGTTCCCTCTTGCTGTCACCCATCAAACATACTGGCACCTCCTGTAATGACAACCAAAACAAGGCATTTTGTAAGACATTTGGTTAACTGTAAACACACAGTACAGTAACAGTCAGCTTTAGGCTGTTTAGAGTCAACAGACCTTGGTGAAGTTAGCAGGAAAGATGCCTCTCTTTCCTCTCAGCTCCCCCTCCAGCCATCCCTCCTCGCTGAACTTTGTGACGTTTTTGACCACATCCCCCATCCTCACTGTGATCTCGTCTCCCATGGTGCCCTCGAAGTCGAGCAGCACTAGCACCTCTACAGTGGCGTGGCAAATGGGGCAGAAAATTAGACTCTTTGCACAAAGGCTGGTGTGCCGGCTTCACAACTGATGCGTCCTGACATTTGAAAACCAAGTCTAACATCCCTAAGTAGTGGAGGCTAGACAATGGAATGGACTTTGAACCAATATAAATGATTACAGATCAATCATACAGTATGTATAAATCCTTTTATTATGTAAAAACATGTTTTCAATGTCAATCAGATGGCTCCAAAATAAACAAATTAAAGAAGAATCAAAGGTTTTCCTGCACTCATTAAATAATCTCTGTATATACAAAATACAAATAAATTGCAGACACTAATACAAGTATTCAATCCATGCAATCCTATCCATACACAGTACCACGACTTTAGTACATTTGCATGCCAATTTGATACTTAAAATAAAATCACCACCATTTGGAGCAGACAAACTCAATATTTTCATTACTTCACATTTTTGTGTTTCACTATCAAATCTCCATTAAACACAGTTTAGAAGAATAAAAACAGCAAGAAACATCATTTCATGTAAGAATAAATATTAACGCCGACTCACCCATGATCTCGTTCTGTCTTTGTCCCTCAAATTTGAATATGCAATGTCCACAAAAAAGCAAACAAAGTCTCGAGTAGAAGGAGAACTGAAAGAGTGTGGTCGTGTTGTCTGAGGTAGAGATATGGAAGCCAAGTTCCTTCTTCCTACTTGTCAAACATTAACATTGTGCAACTTTTCCTGAGGCTATTCAAGGCAAGTCAACAGCAAGAAGTAGGATGGGTCAGTGCAGAGAGAGAGAGAGTGCAATGGAGGGAGAAGGAGGAGACAGGGCAGGAGGGAGGGAAGGGGGTAAACAGGTAAGACAGGTTTATAGTGAAAGAACAGAGATCATAAGTGAGGCTTAGAATAGAGCATGACAACGTATGTCAGCACAATAATATTACAAGACAAAGTCAGCTTTGACAGGAAGCACAATTAAGCTTGAATGCAGGTCTGTTGTGTTCTTTCGTACATTTCCATACTGTGTGTTCACTCAACTATTTTTGTATGTGCTAGGATGAGTGTGTGAGTGTATCTGTAACGTTGTTTTTGTACGCACCTAAAGGAAAAGAGGCTAGACAGTTATAGAAAGCAGAAGGCTATGCAAGACGGAACTTTACAAACCCTTAGCGGTTAAAAGTAACACATTTTATAAGAAGGATCAAAATGTACTTTAGTAGCTCTCCCTTCCTTTTGCTTAACATGTTGCATCACTATGCTAAGTCATTACTCAAGTACTTTCTCATCTTTCCTGTTGAAGGCTAGTAAGCGAGACTTCTCTCTCGTTTTATTAATTGAGGATATTCTCTTTTTGTCCTGTAAAGGTTTTCTCCTGGTGATACCGAGGAACAGCTCAGCCAAATAAGTAGTAAAAAACGTTTAAAAACTGATATACATTTGGGACAAAAGCCCTTATTTCCAAATAAATAAGCATTTCGAGCGAATATTGAAATTGTGCAAGACATGTATTCAGCAATTTGTCTAGGCTTTGTGTAATAAGGACGAGAAGAGTTTTTTATGTCTTATATGTATACTTGGTAACCCAGCAATGTCAGGGCAGAACATGTGATTCAGGGTTTTTGAACTTGTGGTTGCATGTGCTTATGTCTGAATAATTTTGTTTCGAAACAAAATATGGCAGTGTCATCGGAGGACTTACAATTGCAAGCTGTGAGGGCTACAAGCCTCACAAACGAACACACATCCTAAAGGATAGATTGAGAGCACGCAATCTTGTTTAAAATATCTATTGTTAATTGTGTTGTGTGTAATCCTATTGTCAGTGTCTTACAGCTCACCTTGCTCCTGGCAAAAGGCTAAGCTGATGGAAAACACCTGGCTTTATAGATGTGTCAGCTAATTGGACTACGCCATTCCTCTCAAACCCTGAGGGGTGTTTAAAGAGGCCACCCCTTTTTAGAGCCTCTTCCCCCTGCACGCAACAATGGACTGGCCAGTAGTGCTTTAAATTCTTGCTGTGTGGAGATGAGGGGGGGTATGTGAGTTGCTCTTGGGCAGAAGAGCACACAGGATGTCACCCATTTTTGTGACGTTTTGTTTATGTGTTAAATGCTAGATTGTGTCTGTTTATATCTACACCTTTTTCTTTAAACCTAATTGATTGTATTACCCATCTTAAAACTGTACATATGTTGGGTAAATAAAATCGTTATTTTTGCACCTCAACCTGCATTCCTGATTTTTGCATACATGGTCCTTCACACAAGCCATGTAGTTGTTTTCCTGGTCAGCTGATCCAATCATTTGTTTACAATGAGAAACAATTTGGGTGTTGCGACTGGGGCTCTCAGTTAAATACAGGCTGTTAATAGAAAGGTGCAAACAGCAAATTACATTCTAATAGCCTCAGACAAGGGACTTGTCTCTATTCTTGTTTTGCTCGATCTCAGTGCTGCATTTGATACTATCGACCATGATATCCTATTGCAAAGACTAGAGCACTTAGTTGGCATACAGGGAACTGCTTTAGGCTGGTTTAGGTCCTATCTATCTGAACGCTCTCAGTTTGTACGTGTCAACGATGAATCTTCCATGCAAACCAAAGTTAGCCATGGAGTGCCACAGGGCTCAGTGATCGGACCTATTTTGTTCACATTATATATGCTTCCGTTAGGCAATATTATAAGGAATCATTCTGTAAACTTTCATTGTTATGCGGATGATACTCAACTATATTTATCAATCAAGCCTGATGAAATTAATCATCTAAATAAAATTCAAGACTGCCTTAAGGACTTAAAAACGTGGATGACCTTAAACTTTTTGATGTTAAACACGACCAAAACTGAAGTTATTGTACTTGGCCCGAAGAATCTACGAAACTAATTATCTAAAGATATACTAACTATGGATGGCATTAATTTGGCCTCCAGTGAGACTGTAAGGAATCTTGGTGTTATATTTGATCAGGATGTATCCTTTAACGCCCACATAAAATCAATTTCAAGGACCGCCTACTTCCTACATAACATTGCAAAAATCAGGCATATCTTGCCTCAAAACGATGCAGAGAAACTAGTCCATGCATTTGTTACTTCTAGGCTGGATTATTGTAACTCTTTATTATCAGGGTGTACCAAGAAGTCAGTCAAGTCGCTTCAGCTGATTCAAAATGCTGCAGCTCGTGTACTAACCAGAGTTAGGAAAAGGGACCACATTACTCCTGTTCTGGCTGCCTTACACTGGCTCCCTATAGAACACAGGATAGAATTTAAAATTATTATTCTCGCCTACAAAGCCCTTAATGGGCAGGCGCCATCTTACCTTAAATAACTCATTATACCCTACTGTCCTACTAGGGCATTGCGTTCCAAGAATGCAGGGTTGTTGGTTGTTCATAGAGTCTCTAAAAGTAAAATGGGAGCCAGAGCTTTTTCTTATTAAGATCCACATTTGTGGAATCAGCTTCCAGTTTGTGTTCGGGCGGCAGACACCCTATCCGTTTTTTTAAGAGTGCGCTTAAGACCTTCCTTTTTGATAAAGCTTATAGTTAGGGCTGATTAGATTCAGCCCCTAGTTTTGCTGATATAGGCTTAGTTTGTCGGGGGACATCTTACTTCTTCCTTCTCTCTGTCTATACCTGTGTACTCTCATGTTCCGATTAACCTAGCTTCCCCACATTTATTTCTTTTTGGTGTCTATATACGCCGGGATCCGGAGTCATGGATGATCCTGCGGTCCTGTGTCCTGGATCGCGAGCCCTGGATCTTGAGTCGTGGCTGTGGTCCTGGATCATAAGTCCTGGATGGATATCCTCGTGGATTCATCTTCTTATTATACACACATGCATTTCCAAACATTTGGACTACCTATGTTGCAAATGTATTATCTTTTCAATTTACACACGGCATCTATTGCACGTCTGTCCGTCCTGGGAGAGGGATCCCTCCTCTGTTGCTCTCCCTGAGGTTTCTCCCATGTTTCCCTTTAAACTGTGGGTTTTCTCCGGAAGTTTTTCCTTGTACGATGTGAGGGTCTAAGGACAGAGGGTGTCGTATTGTCATACTGATATTCTGTACAAACTGTAAAGTCCACTGAGACAAATGTTACATTTGTGATATTGGGCTATATAAATAAACATTGATTGATTGATTGAGCAAGTACAGTTGTATTGTTCTCAAGATGTGTATTAACTTGATAGACTTGTTTGTTTACTATAGGCTAAACCTCACTAGTATCACTGTTAAAACAGGTGAACCTGTAGCTGCAGACATGCATCAGGCCACTGATTGCTTCATAATCCTAAATTGCTCAAAAAACAAATAAAGGCAGACATTAAAGTAATCAGTGTCTCTTTAATTTACAGTCTCCAAGAAGAAAAAACATTATCAACATCCATTTAAAAAAAGCAATATTCTCAAAGCAGGTGACACTTAAAACAGTCAAATGTGAATCCGAATCTGTTGGCCTGAATTGTACAAATAAGACCAGCGGATCCACAGCAAGGCACTAAAATGTAAATGTAATTCAATAATATTGGCAGTTGTCCAAACACAGATGAGCCTTATTCTAGACTTCAAGTCATTTAGTGATAACTCTTTTTACTCTGTTTCTGTTTTCTCAACAAATGCACATTTTGAGCCCTTTTCCCACAATGTTGACACCGTTGGACACAACTTACATAAGTGATTAAATCATCATTGACTTGTTTCGAAGCTCAAAGGAAAAACACATCAGTGTATATATGGGGGAATTCCTTTACGGAAGTTAAATTCTACGTAGCCAAGTACAATTATGTGTTTGGGAAAAGAGTATAATCACCACCAATATTATACATTGATTAGTGTTATCCACCATGAAACAAATAGCTACTGTAATGTAATTGTTAAAATGTTTAATGAGAAACACATAAGCCAGCTAGTTGTGTTGATCTGTTGGGTGTTGAAAAAAGAAGGATTGTAGAGCATAACCTTTGACCCTTTACAGTTTGGTCCCGTGTCAGATCAGGGTCTTTGAAGAGTGTTGCATTGACCGAACAATGACATTCTTATGTCAACATGACCTAGATAAGACACTGCTCAAAGCAAGAGCCTGTTTTTCCAGAACGTTTAACATTATTAATCTTGTAACCCACTCACAAAACATTTCTTCAGTTGCACAAGTATAAGGCACACGCTAATTTTTTTTTTTTTAAATTACTCAAAAATACAAATTTCTTTTTTTTGACTCACAGAACATTTCCACTTATCCGTAAAAAGCTAAAAATATGTAACTTAAATCCACATTTTTACGAGAAACATAAATTCACCCTTTAAACAGTGCATCTACTAGCTATGAGTTATATCCTTATGTGGAAAATTGTTATGTTTAAAGTAAAGTCAGAATCTTACGCTGAAATTAAAGTTTAAAAGAGCCGTAAAACAGTCCATTGTGCTGTGTAGAATCACAAAGTGAGATTGTTTAAAAGTGAAGAAGAAAATTAAGAATCTCAGCATCCTGCTTCACTGCTCAAGTCTTCTCCCCTTCGATTCCTCCATCTTTATGGTCCTGTTGTCTCTCCTCTTCCTGAGCGCTGCCTTGCTCCCCGTTGATCTGGAACTTATCATGGGCCCTTTTGGGGCTGTTGGTGTTGGGGCCTCCAGCAGCTTTGCGGATGATAAATCGAGCTCTTCCACGCGAGGCGCTTCCCCGTCCGCGCCCTCGGTTTTCAAACCACTTGCACTCTGCTTCTCGTTCTCTGTCGTCGTGCTGAGAGAAAAAGGATAAAGGGTTGTCATTTCCAAACTTGAATTATGGATTATACAACACCATGTGGTTAATTCAAACAAAGATGGGAGGGCTGAATGGATATCGACCCTACCAAGTAGTATTTTCTGCTCTTGGGAGTGAACTCTGGGTCCCAGTCTTCAGCTTTTGGGTCTACTTCCATGTTTGCCATGGCGTTGCTGTGTGAACTGTTTCCTTGATTATTGCCTCCGTTCCAGCTCCGACCGCGTATTCGGACTTGCTATAAACAGAGGATAAGGCAAGAATAATCAGCATTTTAATTCATATCAATTTAAGTCAAAATGTACAGTAGGGCTGTGCGATTATGGCAAAAATCATAATCACGATTATTTTGGTCAATAATTGATATCACAATTATTAAAAACAATCATCCATTTATTGAAAAAAAATGTGAACAATATGTTTTTAACAGTTGATTACCCTGAACTTTAAAGGTGGGGTAGGTCATTTTGGAGAAACCAGCTTGAGTGCGCTAGAATTTGAAAATACACAGCCGGAAAAAATCTGCCACTTCCTCACAGAGCCCCTCCTCCAACACACACGAACGCACACATGACCAATGAGGGCACGAGATAAGTTTGTGCACAGATGGAAGGCTGACAGGCAGGTAGGCCATCCAGTTACTTTAGCCGGGCCGGCTAAAATGATTGGTCGTGCTTTTTACAGCGCCACGGCTTCCACTGATGACATTTTTTAATGGATTTTTTGTCAAAGCACTTCAGATATTCATTGCTATCGGAATGTTAAGAGCATTCCATGGAATATAACAAAAAGTGTATCTCGAGCCGGTTTCTCAAATGTACCTACCCCACCTTTAAGTATGATTCACCTGAAAAACCAAAAAAATAATTAAAGAAAATTGTTTTATTTCTATTACGTTGTTTTCGTAATCGTTGCAAGCCAACATCATAATCGAGATTACAATATGATTAATTGCACAGTGAAAGTTGACACAGCCATTGCTCCAATCTCTGCTTTCCCATCAATCCAACATCATGTGTTAAACTTACGAATTCTCCACGAGGCCTTCCTCCTTCATCTGGTCCTGTTGACTCCGTTTGACCCAGTCTGCCTCTGTCAAAGGCTTTTTCTTTGGGATCAGACTTGCCATGGGGCAAATCTTCTTTTTGGGACTTAGAAGACGAGGAGGAAGAAGATGAGCTTGAGCGACTGCGCTTCTTTTCACTTTTCCTAGAAGGAGAAATGGTTCATTCAAAATCTTTCATAGCCAACTGTTTAACATGGAGAAAACATTTGTAGATATTTCAAAACATAACACGGCAGTTGCACATACTTTGATCTCTTGCGGCTTTTGGAGAACTTGTCCAAAGATCTCTCTCTACTAGAATCAGGGGACTCTCCCACATCTCTTCCCCGATCCTGTTTATACTCTCTGTCATGGCTGGAATATTTTTTACGCCGTTCAATATCCAAACGAAGATCCATTGGGTCCTCCTTTACTTTATCCACGCCGTCCTGAGCAAATCAAAAACAGAACACAACGTCGTGGATAGACTTTGGATTAGCATGTAGCTGCTATCAGTCGGCTCTAAACAGTGAGGTCCATGGGTATGGGGGGGGGGGTAACCTTGGTAACAGCCAGCTGGCATAAATAAAACCAAGCCATTCTGGAGGTAATTTTTTGCATGTTGAGGATTTCCTTAAAATCTGAACCATTCTTCAAAGCAAATGTTTTGGATAGATGTTCTGCCTTCACAGCAGTTTTTTTAACTTCGTCAAAAAATCAACTTCATAATACTTCGACTTGCTTCAGATAGGCAATTCATCACCGTCAATATTTAAGTCAGCTGTATTTTGTGTTAAAGTCAAGGGGTGGCATGGTCAGCTGGTCAGAAGGGTATATTTGTAAATCCTCCTTACTGGTGCATTTATGCTCGTGGGAAAGTCCAGAATCCAAGGCTCCACTCCAAGAATCTGATGCACTACAGCAACACATGGTCCAGCATTGTTTCACATTATCCTTGCTTCTTTGTCTTCCATGTATAACATGACTTCCATTTCCCGTATTTTGAACATCAGAGCATCACAGACATGGTTCTTTCAGGTATTTTAAAACCAAGTCTTTTAAAAGCAATCCCTGAATGTTCATGGTGATGTATTGCCTATTTCAAACAAGATTCAAGTCACTTCAAATGTATCATCACACTCATTTAAAAGTGTACACACTTCCTGGTTGAGTTATGGCAAAACGACTAGTATGGTTCTTTAACAATGGGGAAGAAAAAGAAGATAGGACTGTTCATGCTAATTGAGGTTCAATGTTTTAGTAGTTTTCACCCCTCATGTTTACAAATGCTTGACCATAAGTGTCCATGCTCGTCAATAAAGAAATACAGTGAGGGTTTACTCAGAAAGTTAGGCATGTAAATGTAAACACAGTTGCATAAAGGTGCTTGCTGTCGGTCATTTCCGTTCCTAATGTTTTTAAAGAATACTTACGAAGACAATTTCTTAGAGTCCTTTGAACAGCTTTGGCACAGTGACTTCCATTTCTGAACTTATATTCATTAGCCTTGGTCAGGCTTTTGCCCACAGTCTAAGCAATTCACCATGTGTGAAGGTGACATATAACAAACAACAAAGTCAAAGTGCCTTATTTTGCATTTGCATTTCATAGACTGTGCATCTCCCTCAAGGAAGGCCACAGGCTTTCAGAGAGTGCAGTCTAAAGGCATCTGGCTTGCTCATTCGTTTGCTGTTGTTTGCTTTTCCAACATAATTCATACTGCAAAATATTCAGTCACCTTGTAAGTGCCATCCTCTGAGCTTTTCATCGCCTCAAAAAGTTGAGAGTGTTTCTTAAAAGCTCTTGGTGAAACGTCAATTCTCCTGTGAGAAAGAAAAACAATTCAGACAAGATATTTGAATGCACATAATACAGGATCTATGGTACAGGGGCCAAAAGGACAAACTTGGCGACATTGAACTGCAGGGACGACACAAACAGACAAAGAAAAATTGGGTGAAAAAAACGGACCTCCACCAAGCATACGAAAAACAAAAGCAAAGATAGTGTGTTGATTTTCAGGTAGGAAAGGTGAGAGGAATACCTGAAATCTGTTAAAAGAGGGGGTGAAGCCACAGCACACTGAAGGTGAGTGGGTCACTCAATAGGCGACTCTACCTGTGTATCTCTGGGCTTTTTCTTGGCTTCATCAATTCCTTCTCTGCAGCTCGTCTTTGGAACATGGTGAATCGCTCGTTTATAGTCATTCCAGGGGATGGAGAGTGCTGAGCTGTGCAGGGAAACATTAATAACAGCAGAAGTTAGTGCTTTCTGTGTCTGTCTGATGCTACATTAAATAGACAAACCCAGATAGTACAAGCAGTTACTTTAATCTCATTAAACATGTCGTGTGATTAGATTACTCCACTGTGGACTCACCTTTAATGTGGTGAACGATGCTGACTATGTGTTGAGCAAACAGCTCAGAAGGGCTCCTCTGTAACTGAGGAGCCTGAACATGTTGAAAGATAGAGCGAAACTCCTGATCCTTTTTTGAGGACTGAACAAGATCCTGGGACAACTGTCGCTCCTCAGCTAAAATATCAGAGCTGAAAATGATAAAAGAAAGTTGTTAGTCTGTTGTTTTGGTTTAATATAAACAGAAAACAGTTCTCAGATCACATGGAACTGATACTGTTGCAGAAAATGCTCTTTTTGCCAATTAGCTTCTGCTGCCTCAGCTGGAGGTACAGATGTGACGTCTGACCTCCTGAGGACAGACCCAGTATGCTCACCTCATCAGTCTCTCTCCGAGGAAATCCATTCTGACATTTACTTTTGGTTCCTGTTTTCTTGAGGACATGAAAGGAGTGTCCTCTCCCCTGAGCTCTACGTCAGGGTTCCTCCGTGGTGGTGGTGGTGCAGGAGATGAGATGGAGGGAGAGCTTGTCATCTTCCTGGCTTTACCTGCCATGTCTGGTGACAGTTCCTCAAAATGTCCCGCCATCTCCCTCTTAGCGAGGGCAGCAGAAATTGCCGCTACTCTATCCTGCTTTCGACTAAGATATACATCTTCTGCTACCGAGTCAAGGTCACAGTTAGCAGCCTGTGAATAACTCACATGTTGCGATTTGCTAAAGCATTCATCAAACAGTTCCCGGGCTGAGTGAGTGACCCTGATCTTTGTCTTAGAGGACTCTTCCCCATTTTGCCAGTCTTTGTGAAGTGACTTTGAATTAGGCTTGACTATCATCTCCTCCTCTTCCTCGCCGTCAGCAGACAGAAAGGGAGAAGCTTTCAGAAAGCTGTTGAGAGACACTTCACCACCATTGTCCTCTTTGCATTTTCTTGACACTGAGTCAGAAATATTTGTGGGTGCTTTTCCATTCACTTTCCCTTTTTCCATTTCCACATCATTTGCTTCTGTGTTCTTGCCATTTTCCAGAGCTTTGGCTTTTTTATTTTGCTCTTCCAAAAACCTAAAGAAAGACAAAGAGATAAAGAACTGCATCTAACTGGGCATGACACGTGTGAGACAACAAATGAAACCAATCGATTATCTGAACAGATGTCATAAAAGGCCTTACAAATAGCTTTTACTCAAATGTTAAGTATTCAATCTAGGAAAAAATGATGTAAACACATGCAGAATTTCATTCAAAAACACTGTTGACAAGCATCATATTTTAAATCCCCCTAAATCTCAAACAATTCATTTGTTTGTATATCTATAGAGCTTGCATATATTGATAAAAGTGTGAAAATTAATGAATTAAAAGAGTAAACCCATTCTTACTGTCTGAAGGCAATGGAGATGGCAGTTTTATCTCCATCCAGGTATTCCTCGTTGGAGAAGAAGTCAAAGCTGGAGAGCATTGGATTTAGATCTTCATGTGAGGGTTTTTTTGTTGAGGAGGAACTACCCACCATCCTCCAGGAGGGGGCGCCATTGCTAATGTCCTTTGTGATTTTAGGGGAAGGACTAGACTGGCTGTTCTGCCCAACAATAACAGCATAGCTCGCCAGTGTGCTGGTTCTCTTTGGGCTGCAGTCACTAAGACCCTGCCAGTTCCCCTCAGCTTTCCCACTGCAGGCGCTTTCTTTGGCCTCTCCTGCCAACACCCCGACAGGCTCCGCTGGCTCCTCATCTCCCCCTCCTCCCTTTTGGGCCTCCTTGGAGACAGAGAGCTCCTCTTTCCCATCTTTGGCGTTTGGTTTAGTCAGCAACAAGGCTGGCTTCCATTTGGGAGAGGAGGAGTGTGAGGAAGAGGACGAATGCTGGGAGTGTCTGGATAGAGGCGAGGAGGATTGGTCTGAGTGGTGGGAGTGACCATGAGGGGGGCTTCCCGAGCGCTGCTGGGGGTTGTGAGAGCGTCCTCGTGCATGGTTTGGCTGCTGCTGCTCCTGCTGCTGCTCCTGCTGGTTTAGCTGTTGCTGCTGCTGCTGCTGTTGTTTCTGAGGGTACTGCTGCTTGTAGTTCTTCCAGTTGGGGCGGAAGTTGTTGTTATTGTTGTAACCACCTCCCCCGCCGCCACGCTGGTAGCGTCCACGTGGGAAGAAGCCCCGCCCCCGGCCCCTGAAGTTGTACGGCCTCCGGAAGCCGCGGTGGTAGCCCCGGAACTCACGCCCGTTCTGGTATCCCCTCGGGTATTTCTTCTCCCGGTTATGAGATGGAGAACGAGATCTTGACCATGACCGAGACCTGGAGCTGTGAACGAAAGGGAGAGGGTAAAGAAAGAACTTAGTTGCTGCCTTTTTTCTTCCAAAGATTAACAAAAATGTAGTTGTGTAGTTTTTTAGGAATGTAATGCAATCTAATACAGCACTATCTGAAACAGTATCTCCCAGCCTTTACACTTAACACTTTACATCGCTCAAGTGCAGTCTCTTACAAACATTTTCTGAGCAGACGGTAGGGCTGCTCAATTAATCGTATTTTAATCGCAATTACGATTTTGGCTTGCAACGATTATGAAAACAACATCATCGAAATAAAAGGTTTTTTTTTTTTTTTTTCAGTTGAATTATACTTAAAGTTCAGGGTAATCAACTGTTAAAAACAAACTGTTCACATTTTTTTTAAATAAATGGATGTTTTCAAAGTAAATGGATAATCTTTTTTAATAATCGTGATATCAATTATTGACCCAAATAATCGAGATTATGATTTTTGCCATAATCGAGCAGCCCTAGCAGACGGTGCATAAATTATAGTGACATGACGATATGATATAGCTCAATGAAATAAGACCATTCTAGTATAAACTGGTCAGTAATTAGTACAAATCTTTGAGGCATCGTAGACAGATGTGTATATAATCATAATTACAATGATAATCATTGGTCATGATATTGTGCTTGCAAATGACAGCTATTGAATGCAATGTTTGTTGTTTGTTGTTTGTGGTGGTTTTACCTGATAAATACATTTGAAAGTAAAACACAAACATACACCACGTATACATGCAGACTGGCTGTTTCACTGATAAAAGATTGGGACAGTAAAACCATAGACATAATCACTTAAAGCCAAATGCTATAGATACACCAACAACAAGAAACACTTATTTTGCCATTCAGAAAAGACTATAAACATAAGTTTGGTGAACCAATGGCCTACAGACATGCACACACTAAAACATATAAAGCATGTTCACATAATATGCATCCAACATCCATAAGTCGTTTGGAATTGATAAAACATGTGTAGGGACCAAACAGCCCACATGAGGAGCGCTGCATGGAGAAAGCAGACTTCACACTGTGGTTCTGGCCAGGCTGCAGGGACACACTTGGCCACATGGGGGCTCTACTGCACTTCTGATCAAAAGTCTTGTGTCGTCCACTAGCATGAACCTTAAACACAGTTTTAAGATTATATCAACGAGACAGTATGTTCTCTTCTTTACAACAGTGGTTTAATCAGCCCAACGTGCATTCTCCAAGCATTTCAACATAACTTTGGAATATATCAACGGAGCAAATCTAGTGTTGACGTCAAACTAGCCATGTTACTAAAATATGTTCTCTTCAGCTACTTCTTTAACTTTTCTACAACTGTCAATAAATAAATAAAACTCCACAGACAGTGTCCCTCCCTACTATACTTTTCATTTAAAAAACGTACTGAAATGGGAACGTATATTAAGAGGTTAGGGTTACAAAGCCTACTATACATTGCAGAACAACAGTTTAAATAGACAGCACAAAACAGCACCACACTACATGCAAATCAATGTTCAAACCATATACAAAGGCTAAAAACGCTTAGGACTCACCTAGTGTGTGTTTGCATTGGAATACAGAGTGAGTAAAGAAAGAAGCGCACTGAGCAGCGCTGCTCTCTCACAATGCGAGCTACGGATACTACATCTCGTCTGACCAACTAGTGGAGCAGAGAGTCACATGGAGCATGGAAAAAAAAAAAAAAGCTTCTACTCCAATCCTCCTTCTGTGCTTGCCGGGCTGTTCAACCAGTTTAGTGAGACTTTTAATAGCCTGACACCAACATGCTGCAGATATCCACATCTGAATAGTCTTAATGTAACATTTCAGCAAGAATCACTGTAACTCGTCACATCAATTAGATTTTTTATAAAACACCGTCTGCATCTGTGGCCTATTTGGCTACTGTGATTAAAGCAAGAGTACTCCAAATTGAATCAGATTTGTTGACAGGTTGTAGATGATTTGCCCAGAAGATGTAGCGAGATAAAATGTGTGTTTTGGGTTATTGTATTTTAATCTGTGTTTGTATACAACTTATGTAAATGTGTGTGACCACAAATCCATTTGCCTACGTGTAAGGTGGGCTCAGTATGAGAAAAAACATTAGATTCCTTTCACGTCCAGCTTTATGCCAATTCTTTAAAAATGTGCTGCCACACTGCCAGGAAATGAGCAGCCTTTGCCTTTTATTGCCATGCCACAGTTATTCTGCAGCAAGGCAGCAGAGTGAAGCCTTCGTTTCTCTTACAAACGTTTAGCCATCAGATAACCCCACATTTTTATCAAGCAAACCAACAAATGCTGCACTCTTGATTAAAAGCTTGATAAATGTTGTGATATGGCTCAGAGGCAGCCTATTATGGAAATGTTGCCTGCAGTGCAAGCTGGAATAATATTCACTCTAATTTAAGTAAATTCACAAACCGGCAGCTGAACTCTCTCTCAAACATCAATTTCCTCTCAACACAGAAGCCGACTCCAGAGTTTAAGTCCGACCCAAATCCATTTATACGCTACACCAGCTTTGTGAGTCCATGAGAACCAAAGTCATAAAAGTCCAAGACCAGACAACGTCTTGCAGATGGAAATTTAAAAAAAGATCATGTAGCTAACTACTTATTCTAACAGAACACAGACCTGCTTGGTGCCTTTCCCACTGTCAAAATTAAACTACCGGCACACACATCTTTACCATGCCAAATCTTACAAGCACATTGTATTCAATGTCAATTCCTCAGGACAGGGTTAACTAGATAGTTTGAGTGGAAAATTAGCTTGGCAGAAAATAAAGGATGATTTAATAAAACTGATGTCTGTGCATAACAAGACAGCACTTAGCCTGCTGCACCTGCTGCTAGTTGTTCTGCTTCTTCATCAGTCATTCATTCCTTAAGCATTAGCTGGGTTATGGCATTCATACAAACTATGAGACCTTTTTCAAGAATCCCCAAAGGCACAGAGGCATGGACTACACAAGCACAATGCAGCCAATAGCAAAAATATATTTGTTTGTTTTTCATAAAAGGGGTCTTTACCGGTAGTGGCGCTTCTTTGATCGGGATCTGGAGCGACTCCTGGAGCGAGAGCTGGAGCGGGATCTAGACCGGGACCTGGTGCGGCTCCGAGACCTCGAGGCGGATTTTGGCGATCTGGACATCACTGCGGCCAACCCTCAAACTGAAATACAACCGAGTTAGGATTCAATCAAATATACATTTGGCAAACAATACATGTCTTTTTTAGTAACCTTTTCAAGCCAATTGTATGAACAATTGAAAACATTTAAAGAGAGCCAAGGGTCAAACATTCACGAAAGGCAATATCCGACAGAGATTAGTCAACCGAGAGAGATTTCAAAAGCTGAGAGAAGAAACCGAACAGCTGTAAAAAAGGAAGAAGGCAATAGTGATGGGCATCCAAACAGAACGCGTTTTATTTAGTCTCTGATCATTTGCATAGAGGGCTGTCTTCTGGCAGTCATCAGCCTGCTTTGAGCCAACAATTAAATTCAAAGATACAGTTATCAGTAACACTAGTTTGTATACTCTGCAGAGGATATAGTAAATCACCAGAAAAATTATGACTGAATAATTAATTAATTAAAAGACCACACAGTTTCCAAATAAGGTGAACATAGACAGTATGACTTGTATTTTACTTTAAAGTCAGTCTCATGATGTCATGTCATTTCTTTACATAATAAACTCATACATATACGTGTCCTTAATCTCTAAGCCTCACCACTTCATCACATGTATCTTAAATGCACAATCCTTATTTAATATACTGTAATTTAAAACGTGTAAACTACACCCAACTTCGACAGCCGTTGCGAAAGTGAAGATAGTAAGATATGTGGTTTTAAATATTGAGCACAACTGACTAAACTGATCATTTTAAGGAAGTCATGAAAAACAACGTTATGGTATAGGCTTGTCAAATACAATCCAAAGTACCCAAAATGTAGAAGTATTTACAGGAAATATAAGACCGGTTTAGTGTAGTACTGCTTGGTAGTCTTGTGAGTTGGTTAATCCAAAGTGAGATACTTAAAAGTTCACCCGACATATGGAAAATAGTTTATTTCATCTGTGGCTACTGGACAATATTACATTTGCATGTTGTCAATGCTGTGAATCTGCTTCTAGAGAGATGCTCACTTTGAAATGAAGCTGCAGTCAGACCTCAGGATACTTTTCACTTCAAAGGATGTTCCTTTCGACTCGTCTCTATAGCATGTATTCCCTTCCAAGGTCCACGGGGCATTATCTCTGACACATGATCCTCGGGGTACGGTAAATGCCAGGGATCAAATCATTGATCTTTCATTATGAGAGTCCTCTTCAGGGACTTTGGAAGGAGGAAATTGCCTACTACACATGACTGGGATTTTAAAAACTGGCGCACGCTATCACATGGTGGTCCAAGTGTGCATCCTAGATACTATTTTGGAGAATCCTGAAATGGATCTTCCCCCACCTCCTCCTCGTGCTATATGAACTTCCCACTCCTGGCAGCTTGTTGTTTTTGGCTTTCAGAGAATCATTTCCTGAAGGTCTAGCCGCAACAGACCGTTGATTCAGCCTACTCTGCACATTTTAAGAATGGCATTCAGATGTGCTCCTTTCCAACGCATGGTAGCTCAACGGTAAAATAAATACATTGTAACAACCTTCCTAATTTTGCTTTATATTGAAGAGGAAGTGGGCCTTGGATTTGGAAAACTTTACTGGCTTATTCTACATTTGCTGTAATGCAATTACACCCAAAAAATGGCTGGAAATAGTCTTGATTGGGCGTCAGCAGAAACACTCTGTATACAAGACAGCTTCACAAAGCTAAGGTTTCCCAGCCAAAGCTAAAGTTTCATTACGATACTACATACTTTATTGTCCCCGTAAGGAAATTGGTTCTGGTCTCCATCCTGCAGTTCTGCATACATGTACATATACAAACATAATAAACATTAAAATACATACAGATATCATCACTCGTACACTGTTTGCACAAACACAATACACAGGCGCACCAAATGACAATGGCGACCTATTGCACAGCATTATGACTGTATGTAAAGTAGATGCCCATGAGAGAATGCCTCCCTGCCTTTCGTATTCAGTATTAAAAACTAGTTGGGGGAATTTAAAGGTTTCTATAGCTTTTCTCTAAAGCTCGATTGATAACCAGCTGCAGCTGTCCGCCTCACGCTGTGTGGTCGGCAGCCTAATCACCCAGATTTCAGCCTCTCTAAAAGGCTGTGGTAAGCTCGCTCTTTAGTCACTCACTACTCGATTTGAGCACAAACGGAGTTACTGACACACATGCACTCACACGTGTCTAACTATACTTGTGTTGTGAGGACTTCTAGTTCATTGTCCCTGATGTCTTCTTTCTTACTTTTAACACATCCAACACTTTATCAAATGCCAACCACAACCATGTGTATGTCAACCATTGAAGTTACATTTACTATTCTGGCAATTACATTTCTCAACTTTTCTCTTAATCCTATGATTTGATTTTTTTTTTTAAACCTTTATTTAACCAGATGGTCCCATTGAGATCATCAATCTCTTTTTCAAGGGAGACCTGTCCAACATGGCAGCAAGTAGGTTACAACATGAACATAAAACAACAGATAACACAAAAGGACATCGTATTACAGGGCTACATTCACATACCTAGAGACATAGACAAGTACCAACAGTATCAATTATCATTGCACCTATCCGAGCTTTAAAAACAGGCAGTGGAACCAATTTGCTCATTTTCAAATATTTTGATTCTGATAAGGTCAATGATTGCCACATCAAGAAAAAACAACATCTTTCCTGGTTTAAAGTCCAGACTTCCTGTCCCCGGGGGTTTCGTTCTAAGTTAGTTAATTATGTGATTATTGATTAGCCAATGCTAGTGTACGAGTCTGCAATACCAAGCCAATGCTAGTGTACGAGTCTGCAATACGTAATGATTTCTTACCAAAGAAAATCCCTTCTCACAAATATATCCTCCCAAACTTCTTTGACTGATATCGTAATGGACAAGTTTGAGGTTTTTGAACCAGGAACAACACAGTTAGGAACAACTTTCAAAACTAGAATAGCAGCTCTTTATCATTGAAAACACAGAATGGTGAATAGATGTGTTTGAGATAGTAAAACTAAATTAAACTGATGATGCTCTTTACATGGATATAAGTTCAACACACACATGATTAAGAGCACCCCTCTGGGTTTGGAGCGACAGCTGTTTAATCCTTATCAGCTGTTTATTTCATGTAACAGCAAAAGTATCTCTGATCAACAATGGTCACGCAACTTGATACACAGCTCAAAGCGTACGAGAAGAAACACTCAATCAACAACCCTATCATTAAGACTTGGATGCCAGAGCGCCAGCTGGAATCACATTTGCTATCTATATGTGCCCCTGAGACACCCTGCTCGCTATTTCAGAAAAGCCACAGCAACTGTCATTGGCACAATCTCTGGTTATTGAAATGTGGCAGTCCCTCTTTTAGTGCTCCCTTGATGCTGAGGCAGTTAATGGATAGTGGGGCCACTGGCAGAGCTGTTCAAGTCAAGATAAACCTTGTAGTTTCCTTTGTGGGTATCAAATTAAAAAAAAGGCATGTGAAAAGCCTGATTCATTCAGATATGTCTGAATGAGTATTGACTTAGTTGTGTTTGTCTTCAGGGAGCTACTCAAACTGCTTTGTCAGACACATTGATGACAAATGGTTGACCTTATGCAGAGAGGTCCTGCAACATTATTCTTTGCTTATCACCTACAATGACAGATGAGAACACCATTCAGCTTGGCATTGAACCTGGCTTAATGACTAGTTGCTGCTAACGCTCTGCTAGCTAAGGCAGTTGAATACCACTCTATTGTCAGCAGGTTTTTCGAATGTTTTTTTAGTCTTTTGGTCATTTAATTATGTTTGAACAAAAGTTATTCTTTACAATCAAACGTGTATATAAGTTAGCATCGGCCACTGCACGATTTCTAAGCCACCATTGCTTTGAGAACCCCCAAACAGCAGAGTGTTACTGAGGCATCCTCACACCGACATGCTTCTCAGTTGTCTGTCATCACAACGTTTTTGGAATTTTGCTGCATACAAAGGGGAACTCATCAGCTAAAGGTCCGCTCTATTTTAGTCAGCTGGGAACAGCTTGGCCAATGATGATATAGTGCTATGTTTCCAAAACGTGTACCGTTGTTGTTTGTGTTTTCCTGCGCCTTAATGTCTCTGCATGAAGCTGTTGGTGTTTATCTCTTTCATAGGAGTGGCATGTTGTTGAACTGGAATGTTTTCATTTCTGCTGTAGAGATGCCAGTAAATGTCATTAAAATGCAGAAATATAAATGTATTCTCAAAGGAAATGGCACAACCAATGTCAATGTTGGCAACAATTCCAAGCCACACACACCCAAAACGTTGATTTAAATCATCATAATATCCTCAAAAATAAAGTAGCACTCAAGTGAAACAAACTGTCCTCAAGGCAACTTCAGCAAGTGCCAGCACATGTGGGCACACCTTTTCATTGTGTTTGTTTAAGAGGATCAACCTCAACCAGGATCTGGTAGCCCAACAGGAAATTGCATGATAATGTTTTCAAAGATTTATTTGTCACTGGAAGCCAGAAATAGTTTCTCGTTGTACCTTTTGATGAGCATTCACAGGAAAACTGTCAACTCTTGCTGCTATACCTGCCATGTTGGGCTAGTTTCAAGATTTTAGCTGTTTACAGTAGGTGGATGGGCAACTGGGTGGAACCTGCAATCACCAGTCATTCACAGTCATTCTGCTAACCACTAAAAACAACTGTAATTAAACAACTCTTATACTGAGTTCCCCCTTGAAGCCTCTGGTGGTCTCAAGATCCACTTTGGAAATCACTGAACGGTCCATTTAACATTGTTCAAGATGCAAATGTTCACAATACTATGCTACTGAGCTTCCATACAATTATTTGACATAATTGAGAGACACCTTACTGCAAATATAATAAAGCCGGTAGAGTCATACTAGATGGATAGACAGTAGACACTGTATCATCCTGGAGTTTCTACATGTCCATCATAATGCATAATATCGCACCAATCAAGCAGAAATATAATAGAAAATACAAAATATATCAGCATAGTGCGCACCGACATCACATTGGGAGAGCATTCAGAAGGATGGCTTGTTGATATTTTCCCAAGTTGCGTGCAGAAATGTCTTTACGGTACAGAATTTCGCGACAAATTATGCCTTTGAGTGACTTTTTAAGCATTGAGGATGTGTGTGCTGCGCGACAACTCGTTTTACATGTTGCTTTCATGAAATTATTTTCCATTCAACTATTCCAAACCATAAGAGTGCACAGTAAATGCGTGAAAGAAGAGACTACTCACCGGTTGGCGTTGTCGTTCAGTGTTGTCGCGTCACATTCAGGCAGAACCGAGTAATATTGCAGAAAAGAGTATTTCTCCCTGGTCCTCTGTGTGTCTGTGCTGTGCGTAGTTAAAGTAAAGTGTGTGTGTATGTGTGTGTGAGGTTGAACGTGTGTGTGTCGGCCGGAGTCTGCGGTGTACAGAGAAAGGGGGCGTGACCGCGCGCGGCAGAGGTTGACGTTTCCTTCCGCCGACTGTCACACACACCCACACCCACACCCCCACACACACACACACACACACACACACACACACACACACACACACACACATCGCAGTGGAGTTCAGTACACCGTGGATTAAAGGACAAAAACTACAACTCCAAGACAGAGATATGTTTATGTCGTTTAAAGTTGATAGTGTGGAAGCAGATTGTGTGCAGTTCATTTTATTTTTAGGAACATTTAATATCCATAAAAAGAGATGGTCTGACTCCAAACCAAATGTTGACGATTTAACCAAGAACTGAAACAATATAGCCTAGTAACACTTTTAAAAACAGAGGCCATGT